AGAGTGTAGTTAGTATAAAACCCCTTAGTGGGCTACCACGAAGACACAACTCTAAAACTTTTCGAACAATTGTTCAATAATAGCTAATTCATTACTTACGAGATTGATGATTTGTCCCGTGATGAACCCTGGCAGCAATATCCCAAAAATCAACAGATTATACCGACCGCTTGTCTCCGTTATGGTCATGTTTCAACTGGAAACCAAAAACTAGCATGAGAAGCTCGTTCCATCTGCTTGAGGTTGTTTTGGAACGTGGATAGGATTGTTAAACGACAAACGAGATGCTCACAGGCAACCAAATGAACCAACCAACGAACTGCTTTCCCTTGTTTGACGAAAAGTTTAATAAGAGTGACGACTAGAATATGGAATTCCGTCGGTTTTGGCGGTATATGTTAGAAAATTTCTTGAGGCACTTCAAGGAGGAATCTATTTATTGTAAATTACGGTTTCATTATTTTTAATTAAATAATGAATTAACAACGAACACTGTAAAAACGAATATAAAAAAGCAAGAAATGAATTAAATAACTTAAGAACGACGCTCCAGAAACAATACGCTGAAAAGAAGTTTAATGAAGCAAAAGAGAACTCTAAGAAGATTTGGAAGATTTTAAACGAAATAACGAATACCAAGGAAAACAAAACCAAAAAAATACATCAAATAATTAATGAAACTGGACAACCGGCTAAAGACGATAAAGAAATAGCTAAAGGATTTAAGATACTCTTTTCAAACATTCGAGAAACTTTAGCCTACAAAATAAAGCAACATTCCAATACCAATTTTGAAGAAGAAGTTGTGGCTAGCATATTTTTGAAACCAACAACGATCCTAGAAATAAAGGAAACGATTAACTCATTAAAACATATTTGTGCCCCCCAGGATCGATGGTGTGACAAAAAAAGGTCTGCAGGCACTAATCAATATCATTGGACAGAAAAAATGGTAGAACTTCCTAATAATATATCCTGCAAGGTACTGGAAAAAATTATTAAGGCAAGTTTAATAACATTTATAGAAGCTAAATTAAATTTGGCAACCATCAATATGGATTCCAAAGTAAAAGTAGTACACAAGGAGCGGTTGTTGATTTGATGGAATTTATGACCAATGAATTGGATAAAAACAAATATGTAATAACAGTGTTTTTGGATATTCAAAAGGCGTTTGATACTGTCAATATAGAGCTAATGATGAATAAATTAAATAAAATGAGATTTCGTGGGGTGTACTACCACTACAGCCAGAGGGCACTGTACAACAACAAAATAGTGAAAGCAGTGAACGACTTACTTCAAACGTCGGCTTTGCCGAGGGATCGGTATTAGGGCCACTACAAAGCCTAAAATATGCACACTTAAAAGGTATTTCAAATCTGCTGATGACACTGCATTAGTTTACTTGAGTGATAGTGCAGAACAGCTTGAAGAACTTGTTAATAAAGATTTACAGCAGCATTTTGAATGGCTGCGCTATAACAAACTTTCCTTAGACGCCCAAAAAACAGTTTCTATGATTTTTAAACTAACAGGAAAAGCACCTTGTAACCTAAATATAAAAAAAACTCAAAAGAGTGAATCTCTGAAAATCTAACTTGGGATAACTTGGGATAGACTGTACCAATGTTAGGTGCAATAAAAAGATGTTCGCATGAACTCAACCAAAAAACAAGACAGCTGCTTTATAATAGCTTCGTAGAGCCACACCTGAGATATTTGTTAACATGCTCGGGAAACACCAGCATAGCACCGCTAAATAAGTTACAAAGGCTACAAAATAAAGCATTAAAAGTAATATTTGTAGTGAACTTTAATATGTCTAATGAAGAAATCTACACAAACCTACCTTATTTCAAAATATGTGAACTTAAGATACTAGAACAAACAAAATTAATTTACTTAATTCAAATCAAACTGATTAAAACAAATATTCAACTGACTGGAAATGGACAGTGTTACAGCTACAGCACAAGAAACAATGATAAGGACCAAAAGAAACAAGACTCGCCAATATACAGAAGCATTCAAGTGTTTAATAAAATACCACAAACTCTATTAAAGGGCACTACCAAGAAAATGTGTCATAACCTTAAAGGCTTTATAAGAAAAAATAGAATATAAACTTATATTAACAAACTATTATATTTAATTTTACTAGAATATTATATATATATATTTTTTCGGTTACTGTTTTTGTAAGGCCTCGTGGTAAATGTTTAGAGGTCTGAAACAAATTGTTAAAAAAATAATATTTTATTTCATTTAAAGTCCCGTTGCAGAACATTAATTATACGTACTGATATTAGGCTAAACTGGCACTGAAAATTGATTAAACACGTACAAGATGCAAGTTCAATGAAATTTCGTGATTTTTGAGTCTAGAATTATAAATATAATATACAATCATCCATTTCATTATGTTTAACCTGAAAATAAATTATCTACTTCGCCATTACAATATAACTTATCTGTAAAAATGTGATATATGCGTAGCGTCTGGGGAATCCCGATCCAATGGTTTTTTTTATGGCGAAACTTCAATATGTAGGTTCCAAATTGTCAATGGTTTTTACCTTTCACCAAAACGTTTTCATATTCGAAAGGATCGCATCGACCAACGTCACTATCTTCACTACCAGCCTGCACCGAATCATTAGCCACTGCCGAGTATAAATTAACTCATCTTAGATGGCAGCGTTACCGACAATGCAAAAACCTCCAAGCCTAAACGCTTGTCGCGATAATTTCGACACGAAATTGGAAAAATAATCATAATTGACTTTAATTTCGAACCAACATTGTCCGCGGCCTGTATAAAGGTCGCGACACGGTTTAAAATTATAGCGTCCATCGAAGCAATGACGAGGTATTCAAAAGAGATGCGACTAGTCGCGGCATTTACTGTGCCGCCATCAAAAAAATCACATTCTATACTCCGGCAAATATAAGAGAATAATTACAACGTCTTGAGTTTTGGTTAGTTTATGTTTATATCGTTAGATGGTCAAAGTCCAAGTAGTGCCACTGTTTGAATATGTTAGTTCCTTTTATATTCGTTGCCCGCCCTCGGAGGGTGATGGATTCGTCCTGTACCTTTTAATTAAGGCACCCTTCCAGGTAATAAAGAAAATTCACCATTCAGCAAAAAAATGGCCGAATGATCCTAGCAGATTTGGCCAATAGAAAAAGAAGAAGAAGAACCTATAATATACGGTCAAAAAAGTTTGACTTTGGGAAAATTTTCCGCTATACTGGTTGCTATTTACGTCAAATGATGTTTAAATTATAATGATTCAATGATTTGCTATTAAAATGATCTTTTTGTCTTTGAACGGCACATTCGTTACTTTAATTTGTTACTTTGTGGCTCGTTCTAGCCGATCCGTACGTAAACACTTCGACGAGGCCTTCTGATCGACGATTAATTCTTATTTAAATTCATCCTAATCCAGTGCCCAAAAGAAATAGGTTCTGTAGGAGCCAAGAAAAATACTATTTATTTCACTTCATATTTTACCACTGAAATAATTCAATAACTTCACAAACAATCGCTCAGTAGTCGACTAAACCTAATTGTAAATGGATATTTCAATACAGCTAACCATATCAAAACCTAGTCAGCTAAAAAGTAATTGTATAAATTATTGCATTTGTTTTCTTATGGCCGAACCTATTAGAAATATCAGTGACATATGAACAGGCGCACGGCCATCTGTCCGTCAATCGACGAATTAGTGAGTCGCATAATATCAAAATAAAGCGTTATTTAAATAGTAAATGGTTTAAGTGCGATTCAATCTTTAATTACGTTCCCGGAACAGCTGCTATACTACCGATTCACTGATTTTTCGGTTTCCCGCACCTGTCTGCGTGATTTCCTGGGCATCTGTGACAGAGAAAAACGAACCCATGGGTGATATCCAGTTTCTTCAAACGTTTTGTGCCCTCTTTTTTCTACCATCCGTCACATCGCCATAGTTAAAATGACTTGTAATTCTGTGCAAATATATTTGTAGATTGGACGACGAAATTTTTTGTATTGTTGAATTGTTTGATACTGACATTCGAGTTTTTCCAAAGTTATAATTGGCTAGTTTTCTCTAAATGTAGATTACTGTGTTTTTGGTCCGTGGTGAGGAGAACAACTATGTATTTATTCGTTTCCATACCACTGATCAATACAAATCGATTTATGTTCTTTGTTGTCGTTAGGTTGGTTAGTTGTTGGTTGTTAGTTAGTTAGTTAGGTTAGGTTGGATAATTCTAACAGACACAACCCACAACAATGATAAAAATAATTATGAAGATTTGAAAAATGCGTCTCAGAGTTTACGTACTTCACCTTAAGATTACTTAAGTAAGTAGTAAATAATAATTATCTGCATGTTGTCATGTTATTGTTATCACCATGCAGAAAAAAGGTTTTTATTTTTTTAAGTGCATTCAAAAAATTAAGAAATTAAGTTTCTTTAGAAATGATTTGAGATTGTAAGGACAATTATATCAGTGGCGTACCATTAATGTCTGCCAAAATAAACAGGTGAAATTCCGCTGGTGTAGTTTGAAACTGTGACGCGTGATCTTGGTACATATTCCTGCCAAATTTCATTAAAATGTAGTATTACAGATATTAATATAATAGTAATTATGCAACAAGTGCGGTAAACAGCATTTGACCCACGCGTCTATTTGGCACGAGCGGAGCGAGTTTTTAATAAACGAGTGAGTTAGTTTTGGTTAGTCAAATGCCGTTTACCGCACTTGTTGCATAATATACGATTATTTTAGAAAATTTTACCTTCTTGCATCTCAAAAGTTACGACGTTTAGGGCACACATTTATATGAAGGTTTCTTTTCTTTATATCGGGGGATCGTTTAAAGTAGATTTGAGTTTTGGTCAACTAATAAATAAATAATCGGCATTTTTGTATGACAGGAATGATGGCCAGGGGGCATTTTGGTGTGAGCGGCAGGGGTAAGTAAGTAACCGATATTTATAACATTGTATTTATTTGTTTCAGTAGATAACGCGAAAGTCAATTACGTTGCTTCCTTCTTGGCGGCACTTTTCCTTCGTCGAAGTCTTTAAACAACCTGTAAGTCGGCTCGTACACTAGTCGGGACGCGTTACTAGTGAAAATAAAATCGGTATGAGTGAACCTTTCGTAAGGTACCACGTAATCGAAAATAACGTTGGGCATGCGATCCATGGCGTCCTGGACGTCCTAAAAAGCCGGAGAATACCGAAGTTATTAAAAGGCTATATTTTTTTTCTTATCTTATCGTATCTTATGGTATTTCGTATGTCGAAAATAAATGGAAAATTTTTTAATTAAAGTTTCTCAAAAAATAGATGTTTAGTGTTCCAGATGTTTTGAATGTTGGAATTTATTTTCAAACTTTTGAGTAGACATACGATCTTAACCTTTATCTAACATCATTAAACGCGAAGAAAGAATAAAAATTTAAAATAATTACAAAAAATTAATCCATTACGTTAACAAAAACGGCTTTCAGAATTTAAAAAGCGCCTTGGTATTTGCGAGGCAACCATTAATTCTTTCTTCTTCTTATCTCTTATCAAATTTTTACCTGTTTTGTGCAAATACTGTCGCTCGCTGCTCTAAAACTCGCAACGGCCATGGTAACCCGCGATAGGTTATAATGTGGGGGATCAGTTTGCCCGTAAATTTTCGAGTTTTTTTTAGGACCGTAATCGTATTTTTTAAAGGCACCTAAAAGAGAAAAGCGAGTTTAAGTTTAAAGTGACGTAGTCAGTAGCAGAAACAAAGCCAAATGACACATTTATTTCATCAACTACCACGCGCTTAGCTTTTACCTGCTTCAATCAGTTCCAGATAATGAAAAATCTGTTTACTAGCCAATCGGAGCCCCGAATGGGAAATCACCAGGGGCAGAGTTGCCTAAAACGAGTTAATTCATCAATATCGTCAGTTCAAATAATAAATTCATGACAGCAGACGGCACCTCTTTTTTATTGCTCTAATTGCAACAACACTAATGGAATGGCAAAATAATTTGTGGAACGCAATAGAAATATTGGACTCGCTGTACGCCTTTAGGTATGTACATCGCGTGCCAAATAAAACGACCCAGTATACGATCTGAAAAGTCATAGGGGATACGAAATTAAGTTTCGTACAAAAGTTTCTTGGACTCTCTTGAATATTTAAAATATTATCATTTTGTTAATACAGGGTGTCCCAAAAGTGCCGCCTCGACATAATCTTTGTTATTTTAAATGGAACACCTTGTATATTTAGAAGTTTTAGAATCCTTGGTTAAAATAAAGGTCACTTTCTTAAGAAATTTCTATTCGAATATAATATATAAAATAAAATATAAACATATAAAATAGTATTGTGAAGCTACTGATCCAGGTATTGCAAAGAAAATTTAACCATATACTTAGGAGACGATGTACTACTCAATTAGTTCGCCTCAACTTATAGAGGGTGTCCCAAATAGCTGGTACCGTTTTGGCGCATTCAGTTAACAAAATCTCAAGATTTTCAAATGTAACACCCTTTATTTTTATTCAGATATCAATTCTAGAACAAAAAATAAGGTGAGTTTGTAATTTATCTTATATTTAAATTTTACTTACTTTTTGAGATATTCGAGGTTTAAGATAACACCCGTATGGATTATTGTTGAATTTAAAGCCGCCCAGAGTAGGCCATTTGTTGGCAATATTAGGTATTTTTTAAATAGTAAGGACACAATACTACTTCTTTTAAAGGTATAATGCTCCAGAAATACGAATAAGCCCATGCAGGGTGTCCATTAATAAGCAGAAATTTTCAAAAAAACGACTTTTTACTAAACAGAATTAACGAAACTTCAGAATTCTTATTTAAAGAAACATTTAACAATTAATTATCTATCTTGATTGAAAATACCTAATAACAAAAATAAATAATTAAACTAAACAAAAAACAATAACCTATTTAAAATCCAAATAAAATATATACTATCAAAAACAAACAGACATGTCAAAGTTTGTTTATACCGTAATCCGTGAAAAAAGGATTATGCTGTCTCGCCAACTACATTTTTAAAAATTTCGATATTTCTTTGTTGTTTTTAAGCGAGATGAAACGAGCATTTTAAGAGGAACAGTATTAACCAAACTTAACCAACTAACGAACTCTTTTTAGTTAAATTGTTTTTTTACTTTGTGTTATTTTGTTATTAGGTATTTTCATGAATCCTAAAATTTTAAATCTGTATTGTTAGCAACAGGTTTTATTCGTATATCTGGAGTATTATATCTTTAAAAGAAGTAGGATCATGTCTTTGCCATGCCAGCTTTAAATTCAGCAAGAATTTATATGTTTATATGTGTTATTTTAAACCTGGAATATCTCAAAAAGTAAGTAAAATTTAAATATAAGAAAAATGACAATTTTTTTGTCCTAGATTTGATATCTTGAAAATCTTGAGATTTTGTTAATTGAATTCGCCAAAACGGCACCACCTATTTGGGACACACATTATAAGCTTAGCAAACTGATTAAATAGTGCATCATCTCCTTAGCCTGTGGTTAAATTTTCGTTACAATAGTATCAATATGATCAGTAGTGTCACAACACAATTTTATATAGGGCTATAAAAATGTGAAAAAAAAACATAACCTCAATTTCTGTCTAAACCTTGCAAAATTCGAATAGGAATTTCTTAACAAAGTGACCTTTATTTTAACCAAGGATTCAAAAAAGGATTCGAAATATACATAGCGTTCCATTTAAAATAACAAAGTTGATGTGGGGGGGAGGCTTTTGGCACACCCTGTAACAACACAATCATAATATTTTAAATCTAAGAAACTTTAGCGTAACAATTTTTTCGTATCCTATGGCTTTCCACACGGTGTACCTAATTGGTATTTATTAGCTAACTACTAAGTATTTTGAATTTATCTTGATGGTTAAAGAAAGAAAGAAGAAGCGTCACTGCGGGATACCCACCTCGAAGTCCATCAGCATCGATTTTTGACTGCCGACGATAGAAACTCCACCGATGCACATCTTCCGATATTCGGGATGGGAACAAACGATGCTGAGGAACGGCCTTAAGTACTGCACGTATGGCATAAACTCCACTATGCCGAGAATTCTATAAAGGCCCTAAAAGAAAACCGTTGACATGTAAAATTCCAACGGATCGATATATTTTTTAACGGGCCGCCCGGTATATGACCCCCAATCAACAGCTACCGATGAGTTATACCGTTACGTAACTAAAAAACATTCTGGCAACAAAATTTAAATCATAATGAGTGCTTAAACTTGAAATTTAATATTTACTACTTGTATGCGATCAATATAATAAAACACATTGCATTTGTTCAGCATGACTTTTATTATGTAGTGCAAAATAATAGAACACTTCTTCCTCTTTGGTATTTACAAACATTTGGGCAATATTACTATGGTCATTCGCCCATTGCCATTCTTTTGGTCACAGGTTAACACGCGAACAAAGACTATAGCCAACATTTATTCGAAGCTGCCAAAAAAGGACTTCACTTCACCGATACCAAACAGCCGGTCACTCCCCGCACCATCGGAGCCTTCAACCGGCGTGAAATGCAAAAACAGCGGGGCCTACAACACTTGGACACTTAAAAACTTCACCAAACACATAAGAAACAAAAACCACACGATCAAAACCGACATCAAAGCTCTTAGGACGAATATAAAGATTACAAGAAAACATTAATCTTTCAAAATATGACGTTGGTCATCAAGAACCGGAAAACTTTGTTCCGTTTTATAGCCGAGCTGTCTAAAAATGTTCCAACTGAACAAGTTTGTGGTATACCTTCAAGACTTTAACCGCAGACGCGGTGAAAATCATCAGCGGGTAATCGTACCCTCTCAAAATAACGGTCATGGCGTACGCTGCGGCGATTTTCACTTTTCGGTTGTATTCGGGTAGCTCGGCCGCCATCGCGAAAATTACGGTGTTTCCGGCCGAATGGCCGATTAAAAACAAAGACGATTGCGACGTGCGGTTCAGCACGTAATCTATGTGCGCGGGAAGGTCCCGCGTTGCGATATCGTGGAAGCTGAAAAACAAATATAAAGAATACTAAAAACTGTAGTAAATAATGAAGTCAAGAAAAAATTCCTCAACGGACTTCGGTAATGGGCGAATGGCCATAGTAGTCTCGCCCAACGGTTTGTAAATAGCAAAGAGAAGATGATCTGGGTTAGAAGCGACGGAGGAAATGTTATGTTTTTGTCTGTCCGTAAATTAATAGTATATAATGCAACAAGTGCTGTAAACGCCTTTTGACTCATGAGTTTATTTGACACGAGCGGAACGAGTTTTTAATAAACGAGTGAGTTAAAAAGTTTACCGAACGTGTTGCATACTATACTTTTTCTACGACCGTTACTTTTTGGGTACATTCACTGGCATGACCGTCAGAATTGACAAATGTCAAAATTCAAAGCGTGGGAAATATTTTTCTACTCCCGTCTGTAAAATACCCAATTACCCAACGATCTAGCGTGCGGGAAACGTCACTTTGCCACGTCAGTTTCGTTTCCCATGATTCCGAGTCACTTCGGACATTTCCGGGATTTTACCGCACGGATTTGGGAGCAATCGGATGTTTTCGGAGATATTTCCCACGCTTTGAATTTTGACGTTTGACAGTCACGTCAGTGAATGTATTCGTGTTTAGCGAAAATGTACGCAAAAACTAACGGTCGTAGAAAAAGTATAGTATGCAACACGTTCGGTAAACTTTTTAACTCACTCGTTTATTAAAAACTCGCTCCGCTCGTGTCAAATAAACTCATGAGTCAAATGGCGTTTACAGCACTTGTTGCATAATATACTATTAATTTACGGACAGACAAAAAAAAACATTTGCTCCATCTCTTCTACCCCAGATCATCTTCTCTTTGCTATTTACAAACCGTTGGGCGAGACTACTATGGCCATACGCCCATTACCGAAGTCTGTTGAGGAATTTTTTCTTGACTTCATTATTTACTGCAAATGTATCCAAAAATTAAGGGGGGAAGTAAAGGAGATACCGAAGCGTTCTCACCTAAAGTCCCAGTACTTCTTATCCCTATCCCAGTCGTAACGTTTGTGCAGTTGTTCACTGGAACAGCTGATTCCTCTGGTGCACAAAATCCACACTTCGAAGCCCCTATCCGCCATGTAATATCCCAACGAGTCACGACCAAGGATGAAGAAGAGTTCCGGGGTGCCTCCCATGCCGTGGACCAGGAGGACGACGCTTTTATTTCCGATTTGGTGTTCGACGGAGGGCAGTAAGTTCGGACTGTCGGACACTCGGTAAAGGGAGAGTATATAGCCGTCTTTGGTGACCACGGTGTGAGTTTCCAGTGGGTATCCAGCGTGTTTTAGCCTCTGTTCCTGTCAGGTTTCTTCAATATAGTGCTTTCCACATAAGTATGGTGGGAGTGAGAGGAAATCGAGGACAAGCAAGTCTCTAAGTGATGGTTTAATAAGGTAGAAACCCAATTCAGGAGAGATATTTACATTTTGCTTTGAGAAGGACCTTTCAAAACAGTCTTCTCAAAAATCAAAAACACCTGTGTACAAAACATACTACCCCGTGGTACTCCCTGATGGCCTAGAGGTTGATTGGTTAGGTATTACTTTTTGTGTCCTGCCACACTGTAAATATTGAGACATGCATTTAATGCAATTAGAGAGTGTAGCCAGTATACTAGAAAGCAAACTCAATACACTGTTAATGATGAAACCCAAGTAAACTGTTGGGTTAGTAGTTTTTGGAAAATTAGGGTCCAAATATCACAAAATTTATGAGGTACTCTTCGAAACTCATGACACCCCTTAGTGATTTTCGATTCTTCCAAATACTTTGGACTACCACGAAGATACAACTCCAAAACTTTTCGAACAATTGTTCAATAACTACTAATTTGTTACTTACGAGATTGATGATTTGTCCCGCGATGAACCCTGGTAGCAGTATCCCAAAAACTAACAGATTATACTGACTGGTCATGGTCATCTTTCAACTGGAAACCAAAAACTAACATGAGAAACTTGTTCCATCTATTTGAAGTTGTTTTGGAAGGTGGATGGGGTTGTTAAGCGACAAACGAGATGCTCACAGGTAACCAAACGAAACAACCAACGAACTGCCTGTGTCAGTTTTGGCGGTATATGTTAAAAATTTTCTTGAGGCACTTCAAGAGCTTTTTTTTTTGAAAGCTACTTTTTTATCACCAAGGCCATTATTGGTGTCATAGTATAGCGAGGAATCTTAGATTTAATTATAATTAATTATACGTACTGCTCTCCTCAGCCAGTAATTTCAAACTGTTTCATGTATCCCTGTCTTACTTGGCGGAAAGTGTATCTATATGCGTTTCTCAAAATCTGTGATCAAGAAATGAAAAATAAAAAAGTTTTTTGTATTAACGGGAATTTTTGGTTTATTCATCTTTGGTTTATACAGGGTATCTTAGTTCTGCGTTATCGACATCAACTTTTTTAAAGTTATGTGACTTGTTATTGAAAAATCAGCGTATTAATAAAGCTCGCAAGATTGATATTAGGCCCTAGTGATATTTGAAAATTGATTGACCACGCACAAGACGCAAGTTTAATGAAATTTCGTGATTATTGAGTCTAGAATTATACTGGGTGTCTTTTTTACTGTATGAGTTTCGAAATTTCTAAATTTCAAGAACTCTTTTTTTTCTAATTTCATTCTGTTTCACCTGTAAATAAATTAGCTACTTCGCCATTACAATGTAACTTATCTGTAAAAATGTGATATATGCGTGGCCTCTCGGTAGTCCTGATCTGACTCCAATGGATTTTTTTATTCCAGTAAACCTCTGAAACAGTATAAATCACTCGTAAGACTCAGAGCTTTTTGAAAGCTACTTTGTTCTCCCCAAGACCATTACTGGGTCATGGTTAACGTAAATTATGGTTTCATCATTTCTAGAATGGAGTTAGGAGTTAAAAACCCATTGCAGACTGCTCTCCTTTGTCGGTACTTTCAAACTGTTTCATGCGGCTCTGTCTTACTTCGCAGGAAATGTCAAAATCTTTATTAATTTTAAACAAAAAAATCCATTGCATTTGCTGGAATTGTTAGATTATTCACTTGTGGATTATCCAGGATGCCGCAGTTCAACGTTATCGACATCAACTTTGGAATTTTAATTATAATTATAATTGATTTCTTGGATATAGATCAGCATATTTAGAAATGCCCGAAAAATTGATAGTATTCTAACTAGTGATATTTGAAAATTGGTTTAACCATATCCACCTATAAGAAATTGCTAAAAAGATGACAGTACACAGTATTTAAAATGTATAGTAGTGGGCAAAAAAGATGAAGGTACTTGAAGTTGTGCGCAAGAAAGATGACAGTCGATGATGGTTTATGATAGTAACCAATGCATGCTGTTCAGTCCCTAGTTACCGATTTGTTTTTATTGACGTAAATTTTATACAGTTTCTAAAGTTTTGTGGTGTATTTCTTATTGTTGAAAATGGCCGAGCAATTAAAAACAAGGAAATGAAAATCCTATGGACAAATGTTCAAAACTTAAATGTCTCCGAAATCTCACTGCAGCCGATTTAAGCACAATCGTGTCTAAGTTTAATCAACTACATTGTTTATGATGAACAATCCCTTTATCTGAGTGGTTTCATAACGCGCAAACCTAACCGACTTTCCAGAGAAGTAGCAGATTCGGTCAGGTCAGAGTAGAAAGTCTCACTGTGGCTTGGCTAAAACAACGAAGGTTTATTTACCTGCTGAATTCAATATTAAGAAAATGTGTTCTATGTACAAATTTTCTTATGAAAAATATAGATAAATATTCAACACCAAGTTTAATATTGCTTTTGGGTACCTGTAGTACATGCGATGAGTTGAAAGCAAAAATTGAGGACATTGAAAAAAAAATTAATCAAAGTGCAGACGATCGCAATGCATTGCAATTACGCACGGAACTGCGAAACTTGCAAGTTGACAAAGAAGTACATTTAAAAAGAGCAGACACCTTTTATAAACTTAAAAAAGCTGCTAGGCATGAGGCTCAAAAAGACAAAACCAAGGAAGCTATTGTAATGGATTTTGAAAAAAATCTTCATCTGCCGAATATTACAAGGAATAACACGTATTATCGTAGAAAATTTTCGTTCTACATGTTCAACATAAATGTCCTTTCGAACTCTGAAGCTCTTTTCTATACTTATACTGAAGTTTCAGGAAAAAATGGTGCTGGTGAGAGTTCTTAACTGCTATGGGATTACATTTTCAACCATCTGAATTTTGATGTCAAGAAGCTTAAAATATTTTGTGATTCATGCTGTGGACGAAATAAAAATTTGACGGTGTTTATAATTACATTATATTATTAATTTGGTTAAAAGACTTAACACAATCAAAATGGTTTTCCTGTTAGTGGACATTCGTATCTAGAATGCGATAGAAATATGGGTTTAGTGAAACAGAAAACGTACGTTGAACTGACTCAAGAATGGAATGCAGTTTTAAGGCATTTAAAAGTTAAAGTTATTTCTTGTTCTTGTTATTTCTTGTCCATTTTTAAGAGTTGAACCAAATTTCAAGTCGATGTCTATATGCCCAAGTGTCCTTTTCCTCCAAGACCGGTCAAAGAATTAACTGTAACCGAAAATCATCGTATGATGATGTTGTCATGCAACAAAAAAGAAAAAGACTTTCGCTACCTGAAAAGTATTTTTTGCTTCCAACTTTAGCTTATGATGGGCCAATACCTGCATCTAAAGCTAAATTTCAAGACCTACTGCATCTAGAAAGATTCTGTTTTCAAAAAGCGCAGGATTTTTTTAAAGCAATAAGATTACAATATTCGATTATGCACCTTCATCTTTATTGCCAGGTTTTTTTTTGTATTGGAATCAAAGTTTTTTTTATACGTTTCTATTGATAATTTATATATTTTTTGTATATTCTGTCAAAAAATATTTTAGTTCAAGTTACCAATAATTATATTCCAAAAAATTTTTGTTTTTCGTGTTCTGTTGTAGTCTTCATAAATAAAAATCACCATTACTCAGAATTAAGTTTTTTGGACCAACATCTTTTTTCCTCTCTACTCTTCAATTGTTTATTATACCCTTAGTACAACGCGCAATACGTATATACAATGTTTAAACTGTAAATAAATTTGGTGGCTTCTTGAGAGTCCTATGGATTTTTTTATGAAGAAACTTTAAAAAATAGGTTTAAAATTGTCAATGATTTTCACCTTTCACCAAAACCTTTTCATATTCGAAAGGATCGGATCGACCGGCGTCACTATCTTCACTACCAACCTGCACCGAATCACTAGTCACCGCCAAGTTGGAATTAACTCATCTTAGACTTAGACATTATCGACATGTAAAAACCTCCAGACCTAAACGCTTGTCGTGATAATGTCGACACGAAATTGGAAAAATAATGATAATTGACTTCAATTTTGAATCAACATTGTCCGCGGCAGGTATAAAGGTCGCAATTTTGCGACACGGTTTAAAATTATGGCTTCCGTGCACGCAGTGACGCGGTATCTAAAAGAGATGAGACTAGTCGCGGCCTTTATTTATGTCGCCATCATTAAAGTAACATTCTAAACCCGGGCAAATATATAATGCTGGAAATTATCTTTAAGTTTCTGAAAAGGCCGCCAGGGGGTGATGAATAATTTTCTGGAGAAAGAATAATTACACAACGCCTTGAGTTTTAAATAATCACCCAAAATTACGTCTCGAGCGGTAAAATACACGCAACGGCCATCTTTTCGTCTTAGAACAGGGGATTCGTCTCTTTAATTTGCTGCTCTGTGGCTCACTCTAGCAGATCCGTAAGTAACCACTTCGACGAAGCGTCTATGGGCCGACAGATGGCGGTGTTCATTATAAAATCAAAATGTTTATTACGTTTGTTATAAGTGATATCACACATTCTTCCAATAATAATTTCTATCACTAATTCGGTTATTTGTTGTCAATTGTTGGAACTCACAAATTTTAGACATAGTTAAGGTAAGATATGGAGGACCATCTTTTTTCGTGTATAATTATCAAGATTGATTGACTAAATTTTGTTAAATATTTCACGCACCTAAAGACTTATTTACAGTCATCGTAATCCGGTGTGAAATAGAAACCGGCCCCTTTGGAATCAAGAAAAATACTATTTATTTCAATACATATTTTGCCACTTATTTCAAAAACGCGTTGGTGCTTAACAATTGCTCTATTTGACTTAATTAATAATGGATATTTGAATACAGCTACTAGTTAGTTGCATAAATTATTGTTTTCGTTTGCCGAAACCTGTTCCGTCATCTGTCCGTCAATAGACGAATTACCCTAGATTCGTCTGTCCCCACCAGAGTGAGTCACAGAATGTCAACATAAAACGTCAACTGGACCGAAAGAAAGGAGCTGGCTGGTGCGACGTAATTTTGCGTTCTTCGATAATTGTAAATTGTTTAAGTGCTTTTCTGTGTTTAATAACGCTCATGGAACGATGCTACACCACCGATTCGCTGATATTTCTGATCGCGCGCTCTGGACTTTTGAGGAGGATTGTTATGAAAAGACAAACCGATATGATAATTGTCCACTTTATTGATCACTACAGCGCTAAATAGTCGAAGGTGTGCGGGGCCTGCTGGAAAATCTCTTTCCACGCTTGCAGCCGTTTCTGTTCCGGCAAAGTTTCCAGCAACTCCAGGTCTTTGCCGATACCTAAGGCTACGAGTTTGTCACTTGTCGAGGGGGGCCAAACAGCGTCCACTTTTTCAAAACGAGAAGCCGTCTCGGGGGTAGGGTTTCCATATGTCGCGAAATTCGTCCACAAGTTTACGAACCTCTCGACCGTCAAGCTCTCCAGAGTGTCCCTTTCGAGTTTCGGAACGGCCTGGATGTCGAAAAGAAATGCCAACTCGTCTGCATGGGAAGTGCCTACAGGTTGACACGTGACGTGTATGTTTATTTGTGGTCCAAATGAAAAGAACCAGTATTATAGAAATACTTGCAAAAAATAGGTTAAAAACGGTTTAGAAAAGGTATTAATTAACTCCTAACCCACGTCAAGCACCACCTTCGTGCCCGCTTTATTCTATTAATAATTAAAATGACTTGAAATTCTGTGCACGTATACATGTCATTATCAATTTGTAGATAGGACGACGAAATTTTTAAAGATTGTTTATTTATTTTATTTTGATGACCTAGAATTTGTTTTTTAATTTTTCAAAAAACTACTTTTTACAAAACTTCCGGAGCTTGACTGAAACTTGCTCGCATTTTATTCTGTACCTGCTTATATATTGTTTGAGGGGGCGGAGCTAAATGAGTGGCGCAAACAGCGTCTGAGATGACTGATTCCCATGTTGGTGACAGATAAAGACCTGGGTCGTGGTTGGGATTGTTAGGTTGCTTATAGATTTTTAAAAACCCTCGGATTTTTCGTTGATAGAAGAATTATCGAATAAAATTGTCGGGTTTTGTGATTGTGTTCGGCAACTGCTGATGAGTTTATTTGTGTTAGTCTTAAGGCCATCTCGAATGTATTCTTTCGCATATGCATGGAATTCTGTGAACTCCTGGCATCTCAAATGGAATGTTGTCTTTGACGGATCGAAGATTTTGAGAGATTTTTGGACAAGCTGCAAATCTGGTTTTCACGTTATACTTCTTTAGAACTTTTGATATGTGGTCAGTGAATGTAAGGAAGGATAACAGTGGCCAGCCTGGGATAACTTTCGGTCTCATTGCTATTGGAAGGTTGTGGTGAAGTGTATTTTGTGATGAAACACTTAATATCAGGTAAACAAGGGAGTTGATAACCGATGATTTTTGGGTCGGAGCTTTTCTGTAAACACCATGATCCAATGTTAGATGTGATTTTGATTGATAAGAATATCTAAAAATGGAAGGTTATTATTAGTTTCCAAATCAATGGTAAAACGTACGTTTAAATGTCTAAGGCAATCTACTAGGGATTCTTGCCAATAAGGCCAAACAACAAAGATGAGAAGATTTGGTTCCAGATTATCAGATTTTAATATACCTGAAATGAAATTGAACTGAGGTGGCTTTTACTTGATGAAAATCCATTTATCAAAATAAATAAGAACTAAAAGTTCAGATTTTCACGAAATTTCGTATCTTAAGCGATGCTTTTTAATTGTTCAATGAAGTGAAAGGAATTAAGAACGAAACTATCAGTTTTCTCTGCAAAAGGTTTTAATAAAGATGCTAGATATTTTGCTATAGAAGATGTTGAAGAACCAATGGTGCTGATAGTAGGTCGAAGGGGTAATCCTGGTGTGTGAATCTTAGGGAGTTCGTAGAGACGATGAATTTTTAAGTCACGAGGGGAGACAGACATTTTCACGGAGTCTGATAGGGTAACACCCTTAATTACAGATTTAAGGTTGCGTTCTATAGACGACGTAGGATCTTTTTTAAGTTGACGATATGATCCGTCGGTAAGAATATCTTGAATCTTTTCCTGATATTTATTTTTGTTCATGACCACTGCAGCATTTCTTCTTTCTGCTTTTAGGATTAAGATATCGGCATTAGATTTTAGAGATTTTAGGGCCATTCAAATCGAATTTCATTAGCATCAAGCTCCGAAGAAGTCAACAGGATGATTAGCGATACGTCAGCAAGTTCGACTCAGCAAAAACCGACGCAGGAGGAATCCAGAAGGTTTGTAAAAAGCAATTTGTTTTTTGTTTGATATTGAGGTTTCGGATTTTGTTCGAAGTTGTGATTCTATGTATTCAGTCGTTGCCATACCACTGATCAATACCAATTATTTTACGTTCTTTGTTGTTCTTTTCAGACTTGCCAACATTACGAAAATCAAAGAAGAAGAACGTTCTTTGTTCGTTTAATGACATGGTTGTAAACACTGCATTTTGCTGTTTTATACTTTTCGAAGAACTTTCTGACGCCGGCGCTAACTCATCAAACAGAGACAAAGTAAGTTTTGCTGTACGCAAATCAAATAAATTTTCAAATGACGTTTTTAATCACCTGGTAAGTCCATTAGATTTTTAATATACTTCAAGAAATTCCTCTTGGTCTCCACGGATATTCGGTAAACGAAAATGTTCTCGTTAGACGTTTTCAGGTGATGTTTAACGCTCGCTATAATTTCGGATGTCATTATGCTGTCCATAGCGAGCTGAAAGCAAAAAGTTTTTGAGGTTATGTTCGCATCCGACGACGACAGGTTTTTAAATGTTTTAACTGTTAGGTTAATAAAGTCTATCATAAATATCTCAAAGTATACACGTTTTTGCAACAAAATGCTATCTTAGAAACTGGTAACGTCATCAAAAAGCATTTTTTTACATTTAATATGGACACCTTATAAATGTCGGTATTTTTTTAAAGTGTCATCAAGTTATTGAACTAATAATGACGAAGCGATGATAATAAAATTCACGTAAATGGTCGTTTAGGCAAAACTAAATTGCAGCTGACTTACCATGTAATGATCTTCTTCGGGCGTTTTATAAGTTCGTGACATAATTTCCACAATTTTTTTAGCTTGGGCCTCGTTTGGCCGAACGAACCAGGGTATGCCCATACTATACTGGTATGGGGGCAAATCAAATAATTTCTTCATAAATTCCAAAAGTAAACCTAAAATTGTGAAGTGTATATAAACCTTTGACTGGACTTTGGGTGCGGTAAAATATTAATAATGTAATTGGTTTTGTATAGAGTTAATTAAAACCGATTGCAGAGGATATTTAGAGTTGTCCGAAATCAAGGTCATATTCTTCAGAAGGATCTGCAAATTGCCGGGTTGCTAATCACAAACGTTTTTCTGTTAGTTTTTCAGGGATTCAGTTAGAAAAATTTCAAAGGAAATTTTTAATTTTTTAACCTTCCAAGTTGGCATCTTTCCACAGACTTTGATCATAATGTTCTCGAAGACGACAATCTTTTTGATTGGAAGTCCACTTTCAGTTCCATTTCCAGTGATATAGATGTCAATGATTAAAAGACAGCTTGCTTCTTTTTAGGTGATTATTTTAGGTATTTTTTTGGTTTTAAGTTAGTTAGTCGAAGTCCTTCGATAAATTTTAGGTTAGATATAGATGTCAATTATTTTAAACCAGCTCGGCTCACTACGGCATTAAAAGACTAGTTTCTTTTTAGGTGATTATTTTATGTATTTCGTTGGTATTGAGTTTCAGTTGTTTTATAGATACATTTCTTTGAATGCTTGCTTTTGTATGAATTGGTTGTTACTATGCTTATATATACTGTATTTTCGTTATTTGCTTGTGTAGACTTGGTAACTATATTTAGTGAACTAATTGTCTTGAATAGAATAGAATTTATTGACCACGTTTTGTTGATACCATTATGGCAAGTCATAAATACAATATGTAGAAAAATATGTATATAAAAAACAAGACACCGATTAGATTAGATTATTATTAGTCGAGAAAATAAGTGTATCTTATCTGTGTGTAGTTTAAGGTTATTGTTGGCGAACTAAAGTTCCGCCATTCGCTCAGCATTATCAACATTGTGCATAAGTTACAAACGATGTATCGTCCGCACAAAGTGTACATTTATTGAGGAACAGAAAATGATACAAGTCATTGATGTAAATAGTGATCAGTAGCGGACTTAAGACGGAGCCCTGAGGCACACCGCTGCTCACAATCCTCGACTCCGATATGTTACTGTTAAAGATGACACAATGTCTTCTGTCAGTTAAATATGAGCGGATAAGATCCTGAGGGTGACCACGGACACCATATCTGCCAAGCTTCTCCAGAAGCAGGTCATAAGAGACGCAGTCGAAAGCCTTAATGAGGTCAGATAGCGTGAGTGCAGGTTGTTCCCCCTTTTCCAGGCACTCCACCGCGTCTCCCACAACCCAGCGAATCGCCTGCACAGTGCAGCAGCCGGTGTTAAAACCAAATTAGGAATCACAAATGCATTTTGTTTTTGAAAAAATCGTAATAATTGATTCTTTAAAAGTGTCTCGAAGACCTTACCAAATATGGGAACTATTGATATGGGTCGGAAATCATTTGCAGAGTTTGTGTTGCCTTTTTTAAATATTGGAACCACCCTCGCGACCTTTAACTGCGCGGGAAAACTTCCACTATCAATACATTTGTTAAATAAAAAGGTGAGAGGTGTTACAATCTGGTTGATAATCTCCTTGAGAATTATACTGTTAATGTCATAATAGTTATAAGAACTAGATATTTTCAATGCAATTACTCAGTCAAAAACATCGTCTTCTGCCATCCAGTGCAAGAAGAAAGATGAAGTTACATTTGGGATTTTATTCAGGCACTCTGTACTTCAGGGTTGACAGTTAAAGAGACCAGAATATCAGCAGCAACGTTCTTAAAAAAACTCATTAAATTCATTGGGTGAATTGATTTCACGATTATGTTTTTGTAATTGCTGTGAAAAGATTTATAAATAAGTTTATGTTCTGGCTTTTTAGTTGTATCAGCAATGGTGTTTATCGCTGTTAACTTATTTCTCATTTGCTTATGTCATTATTAAACCCATCCACTGGTGACCTTGTACATGGGCATAAAATAATAATAAAGCTTATCATTATGATGAATATTGTTTATATTCCCTTGGTGTCCTTTTTGTCAAACCGTATCTCGATTGACCACAATTGTTGTTCAAGCTCAAGTGTGTCTAAAACTTTTTCAAAATTGAAAAATTATCCACGCCCCGGCCGGATTTTGGATTCCCGGCAACGTAATTATGTTTCTAGAAATAACATTAAAAGACTAATTTCGTCTCTAGTTTTTCATACACTAGGTTTCGAGTGAGTTCTTTTATACGGGTGATCTAGACTGCAGTTTGATCTAAATAAAGTAAACAGCATGTAAAAAGTTGTCGAAATCAAACCTGAATAGAATGGACTTAATAACATCGCAAGGAGACATGCTCATTTTTTTCACTCGTGTGGTTTGTTAGTGTGAGTTTAAGGCATAATAATAATAATGATAATAATAACAAAACTTGCCTTCGTGGGAAACGTATCCGATCATCATCGGCACTTTGTTGTATTCTCCGCTTTTGATTATCTCGAAAGGGTGTTTCGTTAGAAATGCGGTCGGGTTCGGTTTCTCGACGACCGGCACCAGAGGGCGCTGCCCCGTCACCGTCGCCTAAAATTTACCGCATAGTGACCGAAGTTTGACATCGAAACTACGGGTTTTACGTCTGGTGCTTTTTCCGCCAGCTCGAATAATTTTTCGGCAGGCATCGTCTTCAAGCTCGCCAAGATTTCCGAGTCGCTGGCGTCCGGTTTTCCCAAATGCTGGGCAAATAATTTGATGTTGGGCAGGCCGAGCGCCCAAGGACACAGAGCCGCGCCGCTCATCAATATCGCCTTGTGAAACAATCCTAAAACGAATCGCAATCTGTGATGTCACGTGATAAGTGTCAATTCTGCGTTACACTAAAGTCACACTCAAAAATGCTAGAAAAAGGATCGTTAATTATGTGAATCAAATTAGAAAAAACCGTAGAACTATATTATAGTTCGACCAGAAATATAGTGCTTTTACAACCGACCCCTTGATTAATTTTGTCTACTGTTTATTACTCCAAAACCGCAACCCTTTATAGAAACACCCTGCCGAGCAGACCCTTACCATTCCAGGACCGTCCTAGGAATTTACCTACACTAACAAGTGGGATATAAGTATGTTTTGAATCTTGTACTTAAAAAAAATATTTACATTTATTTATAATTATTTACAATTTATTACGTTCTATTTCATTACATTTCTACATCGTTACCATCGCTACTGTGGTCACGTTTATTAATTGTTTGGAAATGAACAAATATTTAAGTTTGTCAGTAGTACTTTTTATGCAGTTTTTCTCGATAATCAGGTACATAAATAAGTACTTACTGGAAGGATCACATTCAAATTCCTCCGTAATATATACGAACATATCTCAGGCTAGACCTACTTAATACTTTTGGGGTGGGTTTTAGCACGGTCCTGGGAAGGTCTGCATTTCAAGTACTGTAAAATACTTAAAATGCCAAATCAATAATAACCTAAATTTTATATTATTAGTGACTGTATCAAACAGTTCGGTTTATGTTAGCAACTATCTAAGCGACATTAAACACGCAACCGAAGACGATTTACTATTGAAAAAAACCGAGTATCACATAATCCACGAAAAACATTCGCCAACGGCCGTCTTACTTTACATGGGTCCTCTGTAGCTCACTCTAGCGGGGCCGTGAGCCTATAAATTGGACGACACGTAATTCGCCTATTGACGGATAGATGGCGGAAGTGTCGCACCCAAATTATTATTTCATGAAGCAAACGAACAATTGAAATTTTGCAAGTCAGTCCCCAAAAAGTAGTAGCGGCGACAAGAAATGACGTATAGAAAAAGAATACTAGAAAGTGTTTCACATTACGGAGAAATAATTTTAAAATCTGTGTCTTTGCCACTTAAAGTCTTAAAATTGTCAGTTATAAATCGAGACTATTTTAACACGCCTTAAAATTAGAAGTTCATCCTTTTCTTTTTATGACAAGATAGTATACGTCACGAATTATATTTGTTTGTTTATGTTTATGTATTTATTAAACGGCTTTTTTTTATTGCGAATACCAAGTTTTAAGATATTCCACATTGTTTAAATCACAAAAAAGAGTTGTTAATAAATTTTCAAAGTTTCGATGGATTGGTAAGCATATGATAGACGTTCGTATCTTAGACAGACTGTATATTGATTATACTGACCCCTTGATGCCGACGACAACACGTGGAAATGAACTGACGCTCCGCCCGCGCTTTCCCCAAAGATGGTGACATTGCCTGGGTCCCCGTTGAAACTTTTGATATTCTTCTGAACCCATTTTAGAGCCAAGTTCTGATCTTTGAGGCCCGCGTTTCCTGGTACGTCCAATGTCGGATCGTCGGAGCTCAGAAACCCTACGTATGACGACATAAATACCGAAAATCGGAAAAATGTAACACCAGATGTCAGCACTGTCAACGAAATATGAAAATGTTTAATTTACTCAAATTATTTTTTGTGATACTTTTTCTACAGAACTGCGAGCGTTAAATCATAAACAATTCTTTAAAAACTCTGTTTATTTTAGAGCTTGATTCTTCTAAATCATTTTATGCAAATCTATCTATACCTTTTTGCAACTTTCCTCCATCTTTTTTCTACACACATTGTTTTAAAAGTGAAAGTAACACAAATGAATTTTAGGATGAAGTATCTAGGGTGGACGGGCAGTTTTTGTTTGACGGTGTTGGTACAGCTGAAGAAAAATTTGATTTATTCTATAAACATTTTCAGGAATTGTTTGACTCGTATTTTCCATATCAAAGATGTACGCACAGGGCCAACAGAGCCAAAAAAGGGTGGCTCTCCGTTGAAATTAGGGAACGGGGTGAGTTACTTAGAGACTTGCACAAATATTTTGAATATACCAACAGCAATGAAATTTTAACCAAACATACAATTATAAAAAGGTACCATGAAAAACAATTTAAGAATGCTAAAAAAAGTGTTTACAATAAACTTCTTACAACCTATGTTAACAAATCTCAAACGGCGTGGACGATTATAAAAAATAAAAGTAACCAATCTAAACATAAAAAGTTTCCAGATTACTTCATTGATGATGAAGGTAGCGAGTATGTCGATTTACACGCGACCTCTGAAAAATTTAACGATTTTTTTGTGGATTCCGTTAGAGAAATAATAAATAATATAAAAAAAAACAAACAACTAATAAAAAACCTTTAAGTCGAAGTCTATTCTTAGCACCTTTCACCTTTTCGATGCATTATTTCGTCAGTTACAAAAAATGATTCAGCTGAGTACGATGAAATAGAGTCATGTGGGGCAAATATGCGCAGGCTTATTATTTACAAAACCGTTGACAGTAGAGTAGGGGAATCAACTGCCTTCAGTAGTCACTACGACGTTGGACAAAAGACTAGAGTCTTGTCTGGCAAAGTTACGTAGTTTTAGTAATATTGGTAAGTAAAAATTTTGGTTATTATTCTTACGATTTTTTCCAATTTAGAATTCAAATACTTTTATATTTATGTAGCGGTAATTAGTATTAATTATGTCCAATTATGCTCGTTTATATATCTAATTTTATCAGCTATACATCAAAACTTGGTACAATGACGCAAAAATGTGTAATTTTAAACTAAATCTGTAAAGGCGATTAGGGTTAAGTGTACGCATACGGTTGTGGGGTAAGAGTACGCATATTTTAATGCGTACTTTTACCCCGATAGTGAGTTCTTTGTGTATTGACACTCGTTGTTATTTGTTTCAGGTTATACTTATATATTTCTTAAAAAAAAAACTACAATGGCTCGAAATTACAAGCGGAAGGCTCCACACAGGTCCGTTGTTACCCGTGATCAATTTGATGCTGCTAAGCGACTGATTGCCGAAGGTTTAAGTAAAAGAAAAGCAGCTGAACAGGTTGGAATCAAAGAGAGTACTCTCAGGAAGCGATTAAAATCTGATTCAACTGCTCTAAAATTGGGAAGATTTACTTCAACTTTCACAAGTGAGCAAGAAAATGAAATATATAATTATTTAAAAAGATGTGATGATCTCTATTATGGTCTTAATATGACAACTCTAAGAACATTGATCTACGAGTATGCTGAAATAAATCATATTCCTCATCGGTTTAATCAAAAGTCGAAAATGGCTGGACGTGATTGGGTGTATGGATTTTTAAAAAGGCACCCTGACTTGAATTTACGACAACCCACGTCAACTAGCATAGCTAGAGCAAATAAAACTGAAAATTCTAAAAAAAAAACAAAGAAGAATACTACTACCAAAGATAAGGCTGTTAAAGTTAAGGCTAGTCAAGAAAATATTAATGTATTAATGATTTTAAGGAAAATGATGATTACTGTGCATTGTGTGGTGAAAAATACGTTGATCCACCTACAGAGGATTGGATTAAATGTAGCTTATGTCATAGCTGGTGGCATGAACAGTGCACTCATTATGAAACTGGTGCTTTCATATGTGATATATGTTCTAATAATTAAGATTTTATCATATTCGTTAAAAACGTTCTCATTTGAATTTATCTCTATTCAAAACTGTTAACTACTCTAAGCCTTATTCTCGATAAAAATCAAGTTAAACAGTATTTGTCAAAAATTATATATTTAATATATAAATATAAAAAATGAAGTAAAAAATGATAAGTATTGATAAAAAATAATATTTATAACATTAAATATGGTGTAACTATATGTAACGAGTTATGGTTTAAATTATTACAAATGCGCACACTTACCCGCAGTGCTGCGCACGTTAACCCCAATATTGGGGTAAGTGTGCGCATTCTGACTAACATTTATTTTATTTTATTTCTTTAATTACAATTAAGTAAATTGAATTTCATGTTACGTAATTGTTAAATCAATAAATCCTTTAAATAAATACTTTTATTTCAATTTATTTTGTACAATTATTACAATTTTATGACCATAGAAAAAAAAATGTGCACTCTTACCCCACATGACCCCTGTTCCTTAATAAAACGTGTTACACATTTTATAGTTGAACCTCGCCCTTTTTTAATTAATCTGGCCTTTTCAGAAGAACAATACCCATTTAATTTATAATTACGGTGGAATATCACTTCTATCGATTTTTTTCGAAATATTCGAAAAGTGATTTTAAGTGCGGCTCGATGCATTTCTAAAAAAGGAGCAATTTTTCTCGAATTCCCATTTTGGTTTTCGTAATGGATTATCTACTCAAGACTGTTTAGCTTCCTTATATAATCGAATAGTCTCCAACCTGGACTTTGACTTCAAGGAAGCTTTTGATGTGCTTGTTGTTGTATACGGGGGAATAGTTACGCCTGGATTGAGTCGTGTTTGAAGGGTCGTGGCCAAAGAGTTGTGTTGAGAAGTGATCCTCATCTAAATAACCCACCAGCGGTGTCCCACAGGGACGCATACTGGGACCTTTATTATTTATAATATTTTTTAATGATATATCTGATTCCTTCCCAGACAATTTTGTTTCCTTATATGCAGATGACACTGCTGTAGCAATGTCATCTGGGAGTCTGGAAAATATCACGGCCTTGCCCACTAGGGCAGTAAGACCCCATATTGTGAGCGTAACGGTATTTGTTTGAACGGGACAAAGATGATGCTGTTGTCGCTTAGGGATTTGAACAAGAGCTTATTGGTTAGAATGCAGGATAAATCGATTAATCGGACTAACGTCAAGTATTTGGGTTTGTTCATAGACAGTAATTTGTCCTGGACAGGCCAAATCGACTACGTATTAAACAAAATGGCTATGTATACTTTTGTTATTTGGCGACTGCGGTCGAGTGTGGATCTTCAGCTTTTGCTATTGTATTATTTCGGATATGTTCAATCTTGTTTATCTTACGCTATTATATGCTGGGGAAACTCGTGAAAAGCTAGTGAAGTTTTTGTCGAACAAAAACGTATTGTTCGAACAATGTTCGGCGAGTCTCGTGGTCACTCTTGTAGAACCCTGTTCCCAAAATTAAATATCTTAAATAAATAAATATATTAAACAGCATAATTTACATAAAGAGTAATCTATCTAATTATTGCATGACTAGAATTGATGGTCATTACAATTTTAGAGCCAATCTTAATTTGCAGGTGTCAAGTCATACGTTAGCCAAAGTAGCTAACAGCCGTATGATTTTACCAATAAAACTATATATTGGGTTGTTCGGAAAGTCATTTCGTTTTTTTTTGGGGAACATGAAAGACAGTTTTCGTATGATGAATAAATATTTTATTAAATTATATATTGGCCATTCTGGTCCAACACCTTTTGCCATCTTTCTGGCGGTAACATAATTCCCCTCTCATAAAAGTTTTGGTCCTTGCTGGCAAAAAACGGGTTCAGGTGGTTTTTGACATCTTCATTTGAGGTAAAGGTTTTGCCATCCAAAAAATTTTGCAGGGACCGGAACAAATAGTAGTCGGAAGGCGCCAGATCTGGAGAATATGGTGGATGTTGCAGTACGTCCCATTCAAGCTGAAAAAGTTTTTGGCGAATGACCAAACTTGTGTGAGGTCTCGCATTATCCTGGTGGAACACTACACCCTTCCTGTTGATTAATTCGGACCTCTTCTCTTTAAGTGAATCATTCAATTTGTCCAGTTGATGGCAATATACTTCTGAATTAATCGTTGTATTGTCCGGCAAAAGCTCAAAAAAAAACGATTCCTTTGACATCCCACCAAACGGAGAGCATCACCTTTTTTTGGTGAATGTTGGCTTTTGACACGCTTTGAGCCGGTTCATCTTGTCCGCTCCATGACCTCTTGCGTTTAACATTGTTGTATACAACCCATTTTTCGTCCCCAGTAATAATCCGCTTCAAAAATGGATCATTTTCTTGACGTTTGAGGAGCGAATCACACACGTCAACGCGACGACACAAATTTCGCTCCGTAAGGACATGGGGCACCCACAGATCGAGCTTCGAGGTTAAGCCCATGCCGTTCAAATGGCCATAAACAGTCGAATTCGACAAATTTAATCTCTCACCGATCTCTCGTGTGGTTATTCGTCGATTTGCATCAACTAATGCCTTTAACGCATCTTTGTCAGGTTCGACCGGCCTTCCAGACCGTGGTGCATCTTCGACATCAAAATTGCCGGATCGAAATTTTGCAAACCAGTTCTGGCACTGGCGAAATGTTAACACGCCTTCTCCATACACATCCGTCAATTTTTTTCTCGCTTGGACAGCATTTTTACCTTTTCTGAAGTAAAAAAGCAAAATATGACGAAAATGCTGCTTATTGCTCTCCATATTTAAAAGGGCACCAACCAAAAACTACTGCGTAGAATTAACAGAACTTTTTCACACACAAGCCTTGCAATATCAGCTCTCAAGACATATAATGGTTATGCGGCTTAAGTGTGAAGTTGGTTTCGAAAAAACGTAATTAATTCCTCTGACGGGAAAAAACGAAATGACTTTCCGAACAACCTTATAATATGTTGCCTTTGTCCGTCAGACAGATATTGCCTGTCCATTTATTTATGCAAAAATTAAAGCTCATTTTGAATAATGCATGAATGCTTTGGTTGTAGTAATGCCGATCTCTCAATGTGACATACTTTGCGTGTTTTTGTACGTATCTGTTTTTAAAGTTTGTGTTTTATTGTTCTATTCTATTTTTTTTTACTTGTTGACATTATCCGATGCTTTTGTTCAAAGTCAATGGAAATAAACATTACTATTATTATTATTATTATTATTATTATTATTATTATGTTTTGTCATTAAAACTGTAAAGGTAAAAAGAGCATCTTTTTGTCTGAAGGATACTAATCGGTACATTTGCATTATTTATGACCAGATTTGATGTCTTAATTTTTCTGCATGCCGTCTTATTTGGTCATATTGTTATGACATTGTTAGAGAAACCAGTGGCGCACGTCTGCCAAAATATTACAGTGATTAAAAACATATATTTTATTTCTGAAAACTTGAAGTTTTATTTTTAAAAATGATCCCAAAAACCTTAATTTTATAGTGTATATGTATGTATGTATGCATATGTATGTTTAAAATGTCGGTTACTTAAATTTGAAGTTCAAAACAAAATACCGGCAGTAATACGGACACGTAATTATTTTGCTTAACATTTCGCGGCACATTCACTTCAATAACCAATGACTATTAAGGTAGTTTTACACGAATGAATTTAATAAATATACATGTATTTGAAACGTTACTTGACCACTCTGTATGGAATTAAGTGACGATTGAAATAGCATTAGGAAATTAAGGCCATCCCGTCCACTGCCCAGCTCTTCAGTTGAAGTTTGTTTGAGTGGTACAACTAGTCGGTTTAGAGGACCAAGCCCTACGAACTCACCAAATATCCCTAAACGGTAGTTGATCACTACCAAGACGACGTCCCTCGTCAACAAGAATTCTGGTCCGTAAACTGAAGTATTATTACTGCCGCAGACAAATCCGCCTCCGTGTATATAAACCATGACGGGTTTGGGCTTGTCCGTAGGCTCGATCTAATGGACACACATTAATTAGATATTGGGGAATGCGGGAGTCGCAGTGGCCTATGGTTAGCTTACTTCTTTCGTGAAGACGTTCAGCACCAGGCAGTTTTCGCTTCCGTCCACTTTTATCTCGACGGAATGGAAGATATCTCGACTCAGAGAGGCGTCGCCATCCCTGGTGGCATCTTTGACACCGTCCCATGGTTCCACCGGTTGAGGTCCCTAAAATGCAGACTCGTTTGAATTTCTGACAGTAGTCTTTCGAATCGAAACATTAGATACTTAAATCGGAGATACTAGACACCATAATATTACGAAATTTTCCGTTGGTGTTATGGTATGGCACTCAATCTTTATCGTGCTGGCTTTTGCCTACAATTATGCCTCCGGACGGTATGTATTAAAGGGCAGAACATTAGGCACAGACCCTCAAAGGTTAATGGTAAGCATACCATTTTTTTGTTGTTTATTTATGAGCTGGCATTAAATACGTACAATAATAGCTATGTAATAGAATAGCTATGACAGTTCAACAGCCATTTCGTCCGTTTATACATGTAGATTCCCATAAGAAAAAATGTAAGGTTCATATGATATATGATTTTTTTTAAATATGTACAGGGTGTGTCGATTAAGTATAAAACATGGGATAATTTGGTTTAAACAGTGTCATAAACTGTATCGAGAAATTTTCAGGTTTCGTCTATCATACATACAACTAATTAAAAAGAAAAAATGTGAAATTAAATCATAGTTTTCTCGTAAATAAATACAACGTTTTGATTTTATATGGCGACCGTAGTTGGCTACGGTCTCAAAAAAAATTTCGGTGTCGAGCCCTTTTCAGTTATATTGATTTTTTGGTATCTGCGATGAAGGTATATATGTATTAGTAGACTGTGAGTATGTTCAAAAAGACGTCAAATAGAAAGCTTTAAAAAAAGGTTGACATTTTTGACATTTTTGATTTTTTAGGAAACAAAATTATAGTTATTTTAATCTAATAAACAAATAACAGCAAATATTAAAATACAAAATATTAAAAATTAACCTTTTACATTAAATGTGGATCACAAACCGTGTCGGGTCCAATATTGGTCCCTGAGACACGCTACCTTTGGTTGAGACACTCTGAGAAACAGTTATTATGTGGCACGCATTGATATCTGTTGGCGAGTTTCAGTGGAATCCCTTTAATGCCATAGATCGAAGGTTTCTTGAATAAGAATGTCGTATCCATTTATGAGAAAATGAAAAAATGCAGAAAAAACCTGAATACAGCCACAAATTTGCATAAATCAAAAAGTTATGGGCGATTTTCAAAATGGTCGATCATTGAAAATGGTCCTAGCAAAGACCACCCAGTACACTAAGCAAAGATGGGCAGATTTTGTGCTCACCTTAAATCTGAGGTCTCCTATCGGTGGCTTGGCGTATGGTATTCCCAGGAACTTGTAAATGGTGCCACCGCAGATATTTTTTCCCGCCACACCCCTAACTTTACCATCGCTAATGGTTACTATGGGACCGTCCATAACGTTACTACTCAGTGTCTCGTCTTATTTTCACTCGAGATTGCCGAATTTAACCGGTTTCGAGATAATTTTTCAAAGCCGCCATGTTTGCAACAGTCGCAATAAACAATTTCGCGTCCATGGACGTAGCACCGCTACATTTAACTAAACCTTCCTATCTTTCCTAATTTAATCTATGTCTAATGTCGAAATTCCAGGAATTTGCCAACGGAAATATTTCAGCAAGTTTTAAAATTTGGACTCATGTCAAAAATATAGAACGAAACAGTAAGCAAAATGTCAATTTAAAAAGAAGAACATCGCCAAATCAAACTGCGAAACTTCCATTGGTCCTTCACCTACATAATATATAATATAAACTGTACCGGATGATCATTTGCAACGTCCCTCGCCTTGCGAGAAAAAACAAACATTAAATACAATCAATTCCCTAAACATATTGCCCATTTCTTGCATAATGTTCTTCTTCTAAGGTTGTAAGGTAAGTCGTCACCAAAAAATAAAAGCTTTGTTGAAAACCGACAGTGACAGTTACCAATTGTAGGTTTAGCAAAACTTAACGTTCTTTTTATTATAAAAAGCATTATTCTAAACAACTGATTTTGATCACTCTTGTTAAAGGAAATAACAGTTTTTAATAAATTCCATGCAAGTTTCTTTGTGTCTGTGCCCCGAGGCATTTTATATATGACAAAAGGAGCATACTGTTGTAATACCTGTAACTATCACTGTCAGTTATAAACAAACATTTTGTTTTTTGGTGACGACTTACTTCACAGCCACCTACGATATAAATTATAAATTCTAGAATATTGTTTTATTTTTAAATGAGGTACTTTATTGCACTTACTATAACCTCACTTTCAATAAAGTTTTGTCTTGGTGCTTTTGGTTAGTTTTACCCCAATTATGAGGAGAAAACGCACGGCACTGGCAGCTACGTGACCGTATTTTTTTATAAAGATAATTCGTATATTGAAGGTCGTCGGTTGGAGAGGTATATGTTTATTTATTAAGTAGAAATTTTCTCTGGTGGAGTGCATTCGTTCGATCGTGTTTTGGCCGACGTCTTGCATGGATATCGCCTCACTTTTGTGATATCTGTCACGCTCATCGCATGCGCTGAAAATCAAACATTTTATTCACCTGTTTTTAAAGTATGGAACTTAACGTTTGATCGTTTTGTGTCCCTTAACGTGGTCAGTTTTTTTAAAAGTAAAAAAAATGATCTCATATTGGTCAAATTATTTATTATTAAATTTTTCCGGATATTTTTTTACAAAGGTAAGAATTAAGCAAATTTCTTTAGAAAAATCAAGAATGAAGAGAAAATGGAACATCGTAATGCAAATTTCCATTTAAATCAAGTGGCATTAATAATAATAGCAAAGAAGCCTTTTAATTTCAAATGACTATTAACTGTTAACGTCTAGCGAATAACAAATACTACAAACATTGAAAACATTCGCATTGAAAATTAGGAGCATCAAATTGACTGCTCAAAAATAATAAGCTCTAAAAATAAAAAAAAAGTGCGAAACTTGTATTTAAATCTATTAGTATCACTTTGTAGGTGTCCTGTTTCGAGAAAAATCATTGTCCTTTCATTTTTGACTTTAAGTTTCAGTTTTGGCTCTGAATAAGCCAACAGGATGACCGGCGAAACGTCAGCAAGTTTTGTTGCATCGGGGTTTTGTTCGGTGGTCTGTGGTGATCTAATTCTGTGGTATTGAGAGGTTAGAATGTCGCACTCTCATTCATATATCTGCTGTAAATTGAAGGTCGTCGGTTGGAGAGGTATATGTTTATTTATTAAGTAGAAATTTTCTCTGGTGGAGTGCATTCGTTCGATCGTGTTTTGGCCGACGTTTTGCATGGATATCGCGTCACTTTTGTGATATCTGTCACGCTCATCGCATGCGCTGAAAATCAAACATTTTATTCACCTGCTTTTAAAGTATGGAACTTAACGTTTGATCGTTTTGTGTCCCTTAACGTGGTCAGTTTTTTTAAAAGTAAAAAAAATGATCTCATATTGGTCAAATTATTTATTATTAAATTTTTCCGGATATTTTTTTACAAAGGTAAGAATTAAGCAAATTTCTTTAGAAAAATCAAGAATGAAGAGAAAATGGAACATCGTAATGTAAATTTCCATTTAAATCAAGTGACATTAATAATAATGGCAAAGAAGCCTTTTAATTTCAAATGACTATTAAGTGTTAACGTTTAGCGAATAACAAATACTACAAACATTGAAAACATTCGCATTGAAAATTAGGAGCATCAAATTGACTGCTCAAAAATAATAAGCTCTAAAAATACAAAAAAAAGTGCGAAACTTGTATTTAAATCTATTAGTATCACTTTGTAAGTGTCCTGTTTCGAGAAAAATCATTGTCCTTTCATTTTTGACGTTAAGTTTCAGTTTTGGCTCTGAAGAAGCCAACATGATGACCGGCCAAACGTCAGCAGGTTTTGTTGCATCAGGGTTTTGTTCGGTGGTCTGTGGTGATCTAATTCTGTGGTATTGTGTGGTTAGAATGTCGCACTCTCATTCATATATCTGCTGTAAATTGAAGGTCGTCGGTTGGAGAGGTATATGTTTATTTATTAAGTAGAAATTTTCTCTGGTGGAGTGCATTCGTTCGATCGTGTTTTGGCCGACGTTTTGCATGGATATCGCGTCACTTTTGTGATATCTGTCACGCTCATCGCATGCGCTGAAAATCAAACATTTTATTCACCTGCTTTTAAAGTATGGAACTTAACGTTTGATCGTTTTGTGTCCCTTAACGTGGTCAGTTTTTTTAAAAGTAAAAAAAATGATCTCATATTGGTCAAATTATTTATTATTAAATTTTTCCGGATATTTTTTTACAAAGGTAAGAATTAAGCAAATTTCTTTAGAAAAATCAAGAATGAATAGAAAATGGAACATCGTAATGTAAATTTCCATTTAAATCAAGTGACATTAATAATAATGGCAAAGAAGCCTTTTAATTTCAAATGACTATTAAGTGTTAACGTTTAGCGAATAACAAATACTACAAACATTGAAAACATTCGCATTGAAAATTAGGAGCATCAAATTGACTGCTCAAAAATAATAAGCTCTAAAAATACAAAAAAAAGTGCGAAACTTGTATTTAAATCTATTAGTATCACTTTGTAAGTGTCCTGTTTCGAGAAAAATCATTGTCCTTTCATTTTTGACGTTAAGTTTCAGTTTTGGCTCTGAAGAAGCCAACATGATGACCGGCCAAACGTCAGCAGGTTTTGTTGCATCAGGGTTTTGTTCGGTGGTCTGTGGTGATCTAATTCTGTGGTATTGTGTGGTTAGAATGTCGCACTCTCATTCATATATCTGCTGTAAATTGAAGGTCGTCGGTTGGAGAGGTATATGTTTATTTATTAAGTAGAAATTTTCTCTGGTGGAGTGCATTCGTTCGATCGTGTTTTGGCCGACGTTTTGCATGGATATCGCGTCACTTTTGTGATATCTGTCACGCTCATCGCATGCGCTGAAAATCAAACATTTTATTCACCTGCTTTTAAAGTATGGAACTTAACGTTTGATCGTTTTGTGTCCCTTAACGTGGTCAGTTTTTTTAAAAGTAAAAAAAATGATCTCATATTGGTCAAATTATTTATTATTAAATTTTTCCGGATATTTTTTTACAAAGGTAAGAATTAAGCAAATTTCTTTAGAATCGTAATGTAAATTTCCATTTAAATCAAGTGACATTAATAATAATGGCAAAGAAGCCTTTTAATTTCAAATGACTATTAAGTGTTAACGTTTAGCGAATAACAAATACTACAAACATTGAAAACATTCGCATTGAAAATTAGGAGCATCAAATTGACTGCTCAAAAATAATAAGCTCTAAAAATACAAAAAAAAGTGCGAAACTTGTATTTAAATCTATTAGTATCACTTTGTAAGTGTCCTGTTTCGAGAAAAATCATTGTCCTTTCATTTTTGACGTTAAGTTTCAGTTTTGGCTCTGAAGAAGCCAACATGATGACCGGCCAAACGTCAGCAGGTTTTGTTGCATCAGGGTTTTGTTCGGTGGTCTGTGGTGATCTAATTCTGTGGTATTGTGTGGTTAGAATGTCGCACTCTCATTCATATATCTGCTGTGACTCCTTAATTAGAAAAAGCCTCCGATACGACAAGTTTGATTTTTGATTTGATTGTAATGCAGATTTTGCTTAAAAAAATGAAAAGACAAATAAATTATAAAATAGTAAGAGGTATTGGTTTGACATGGAAAAAATCGAATAATAGAGTAAATAAAGTAAGGTTCGTTTAGAAGCAGTCTACAAGTTGTAGAAGAGCGGAGACAATATGAACAGGTAAAATTTTGAAAATTGGTTTAAAAGTCAATTAACCAACGCAAGTTATCATTCCTTTTAGAGGATATTGCATGAAAGTCATGGATAAAGTAGAGGTTGATTGGATGGCTAACAGAAAAGAATATTATGAATACGTTTTATATACCATTCTCAATTTGATGCCATTATTTGAGTTTGTTTTTGTTAGTGTTGGTTAGTTGCTAGTCTCCAGACGTGGAAAAAAGCGATGGACGAAGGATCTTCAGAACCCTGGAAAAATTACGTCAACCCACAGAAATCGAAGTAGTTTGGAAGGCAATACAGACGTGTGATAACGCAAAGATTATTTGAATCAGTTGACCTTATTTGCAAAAAAAAAATTGGTATGTTAAGTTACTGGTGGCGCCACCGGGTATTCGGTCATCCTTAACAACGACCTATCAGAATTTTAATGCCCTGGGTGGTAGGTAGTACGCTTAAATATTGTTTACACAAATACGTATATCTCTGGATTGATATGTTTTTCTCTCTGCTATTAAAGGACAGAACAAAGAGTATAAAATAGGGGGAAGGTCACGTATATTGTTACCAATGCCATCTATTATTTGTGTCCAAGTACTAAAGTATTGTCGTGGCGGTATAAAGTAATGCGTCACACTGACGATACTACAATAGCTTGTAACGGATAACAGCACTTTATTTATATTTTAGTAAAAAAATTGTTTAAACTATTTCGACATAATTTTTTTTTCCACATTTTACCTTTCAAACTTTGAATTGAACCGTACGTTTTCCGTTTTCCTGACTGGACACAATCACTAGAGGCGTTGAAACTCGTGTGCGCATTTTAAGACTGCGCTAATGGGAGCCTACCGCTATATTTTATACTTTTTGGAACAGAACATTAGAGTCCCGAAGGATTTGGTAATAATATATTTTTTTTGTTTGTTTAGGTGGGTATTATCTTATTAAATTGCACTAAGAAAAAACAATGACATTAAATATATATGATAAATTCATAGCTAGGAATATACATTAGGGTGCTTCAAAAAAAATTTTTTTTTCAGCTCTTGGCCTCTCAAAAGTCTCTTTTTGATATAAAAAAATCCTCACCAAAGATGAGCCCTGTAGCTCAACTCTAAAGGGTCGCTATTTTTATTTTAGTTTCCCATTTAGTTAAGATGGGAAAAATTCTTTTTTCACTAAAATTAAATTTACGTATAATGTTCGCGATTTTTTACAAAAAAGCAATTTATATTCTTAAATTTATAAATTAGAATTTGTGGAATACAGAACTTATTGGTAGAATCAATGCTATTATAAGTACCTGTATAATCGTTGTTTGGTTCTTCACCTAAATCTGAAATCGTTAGAGCCTCTGTCGAAACTTCTAAGTTTGCAGAAGTTAAAAAATAAAATAAATAAATCTTCATTTAAATAAAAACAAAAACTGGAGCTTATACCCCGCCGTACCCGGTAGCTCTTCTAGCAAACCTAATTAAATGAAAAAAAAAGACCTAATTTGGGCATTCCTTTATTGGTCGTTAAAACGGTAAAGGAGCTTTATTACGTGGTGATGCAAATACGTATCGATGTCCTTGCCCCACACGAAATCCATATGGGTCCATTTGTCGTAAGGTACGGGGTAAACTTCGACGACGTTCGGCAGCATCCTGCCGAGAATTTCCACGTCCTGAAAAACGATTTGGAGCGATAAAAAAGGCCGCTAACGAAGGACGCGGATATACGTTCACCTCTTTGGTGATCAGTTCGTCTCCTTTGCCGTAAATGAGAGCGACCGGGGAGGTGACGTTCCTCAGGTTGTATTCGGGCGGAAGTTTCGACCCGTACCTCCTGAGGTTTTCCTTCGGACCCCAATCGTATTGCACGAATTTTCCTGCAACACTTTGGTATAGTACTTTCATAAATAATATATCTTCGATTTTTTTAAAGAAATAAAACGACTTTCTAGAAAGCAAAAAGCTATCCAGAGATGTGTTTATGTTCTTTTAACTCATGTGTCGAATTTTAATAAGCCAATCTTCAGTTATTGAATTAAATATGGTGGCGAAATTACAAAACGTCAATACGACAAATACCGGTTGGTTTACAATAAAGACGTGCACATTGGTTTCGCACATTGATAGCCTGTTTTTTCATGAAATCTGGCCACGTCGCAACTGTTTCTTTGGTGAAAGATAAAACAGTCAATTCTGAATGGTACACAAGCATATGTTTGCCGAAAGTCTTCGAAGAAATTAAAAAAACCAACTGCCGAAGACGAATCACTCCCCACGACGACAATCGGCGCAAACAAAGAACTTTTTGAGCATTAAAAACGTTGATTTGATGAGCCATCCACCATATAGTCCTGATTTATTCCCAGACATTCAGAATTAGCTTATGCGGCCAACGATTTTTGACACCAGAAGTAGCGATTGATGCGTTTAAAAAGCATGTTTCGGAGGTGCCCGACTCGATGTGTATTGATCAGGGTGAAAATTTTGAGAAACAATAAAGGCCTACTTGTTGGTAGCTTGTAGTTTTTTATTACAAATAGCGAAATATAAAAGGTATGTGTGCAACTGCATTTTGGTGGTTATGATAGGCAGCATCGCTTTGTTATTATTAAAAGTCGTTTATGAGTCACCAGGAACGATTTGTTAAAAACTTAAAAATATTTTAAAAGAAAAAAAGAATCTGAGGAGTGAGAAAAAAATTTCGAATTTAATTTGGACGATTTTTCACAAGGTTGATTTGAATTGACTAATTTTAAATTGTTGTAATGCAGAAAACACACGTTTGTTCTTATTTAACTATTTTAAATGGATTTTCATCAAGTAAAAGCCACTTCAGTACAACAAAATTTTAATATTTTCAATCTTCAGGAGAGTCCAAGATACTTCGTTCCGTATCTCCTGTGGGTTTCCAAGTCGTATAGCGGATCGTTTTATTTGGTACACGGTGTACTTTAAAAAATCGAAATTGATTTTGTTGACAGATTTCCATAGCAACGGGGAAAAAATTTCGACTAAAACTCGCCCGTTGCCATGGCGATCTGTCGAATAGACACGTTTTGATTGGTTGAAATTTGCGGGTGTTGTTTCGAGAGAGATTTTGAGGTTACCTTTGGTTAGAATCTGGGCGTAATGAAAGGCTTGATAGATCGACGCGCCACCTGGTCCCATTGCAACGATGTAAGGTATGGTGTTCTGAAGAAATAAAGGGCCGCGTTAATTTAAAAGAACAGTTCCAACGACTTAAACTCACCGGATCTATCTGCTCGTCTGGCGTGAGCGACATGGCGGACAATATGTTGGTGCATATCTGTCTCATGGTGGAGTTTTCGCCGCACAGTGCTTTCCCTACCTGACGTATCCCTTCGTTCGACATAAACTGTCTCGGTATCATCTCGTAGATTTTCATCGATTCAGCAATTTTCTGTAACAAAGAAAAAACGATTTCCTTGTCTATTTGTCCAAATTTGAAGCTGTCGATTTCAAATTTGGCAAACTAATAGCTTTTGGTCTCCTGACGGCACCCATTGAAACTGGAGGAGGCGGGAGGTGGAGAAGTATTATTTAAAAATCGTAATTACGTTTGCAAGAGTCTAAGAGAACCGATAACGCGATCCAGCAAAGTTATTGGACGAAAAGAAAACCTTACTTGTAATTTTCAAAAATATACGTGGTGTGTTGGAAATTCGCAAAAAAAAAATGAAAATTTGGTTCCTCTTTTAATAAAAATTCAATATTCAATAGCCAATTTAAGATACGTTTAAGTCAGATATTGCTTTAAACGAGTATAGAGAATTACGAAATTGTGTGAATTCCTGTGTGGGAGCCGAGAAAAGGGCATATTTGGGAAGTACATTTAAGGCTGACTCTAAAAATTTTTGGGTTACATTGAAGAGACTTCAGCCCAGATAACACACAATATCCCCAGTCAATGTCCCATTTAAGTCGCATGTTCTGGGACATGTGGACATGCTACGTTAGCATATATACCAAGGATATACTGCAAAATACTTCCCAGGGATATCATCTTAAGCTTGCGGATTAACTGTCACGATATACCACAGATATCCTCTAAATAGATGGCCTAAGGATATCCCCTTGTGCCCTAACATTAGAATAGAAACTCAAAAAGTTAAATTTTGAACAACTGAGAGCAAAAATACTTAGTTTTTTTAGCTTTGTGGTGTTTTGGGGGACATTTTATTGGCAACGTTTTTGTGCACATCTACATTGACGTCAGTGTTGGCAAGTCCTAAAAAAGCCGAAATCAACCGGTTAAAATCAACCTGTTTTTATTATTTTTGGACACGAACGAGACAAGAAACGCTATTTTAATAAAAATACCACAGAAAATACGGATTCGTCTAAGTGAAAAAATTACAAAAACGTAAAAATAATATATTTGTTTATAAGATTCCATTTGACAACACTGTTCGGCTGCAACCAATTATTATTGTTACTGAAGAACTAATAATTCATATAAGTAAAGCTTTATGGCGATATATAACGTAAGATTGGATAAATTCTAACCAGAACGAACCATTGTTGTGTAGTCTGCCATCATGCCTTGTTTTTTATTATTTTGATATGACAATGAGATATCAAGATCAGGCGGCGGCAGCAGTTGTGAGTTTGTAAAAGAAGCTCTGACCCCGCTGATTTCAAATGAACTTGCAATGAAATTTAATTGGTTGGGCATGAAGAATAAGGAGAAATTTTCAAAATTAAAATTGGCCAAATAAATAATTGGTAAGTAGGTACTATGTTTTTAAAAATGAATAGGAAGTAAATGTAATATAAATAAAGCATAAGAAATATAATTTAATAAAATATATATTATGGTGATTGCTTAGTTGATGCTTTTTTAAGGAGTGATGGCTGGACCGAGTTAAGGTAAAACTGACTTTTTTGTAACCCTTATACGTTTTAGATAACATATCTTTTTTGATTCTAGACTTCTTTTAGTATCTTATTGCTTAGTTATTGAAAACAAGAATAAAATCCACTTTCTCTTCATGTTTTTTGAGCAGATAAATTTGGGCATATAAGACTAAATCAATTTCTTATTTAAGTAAGCAAAATCGGCCAGAACAAAATTATATTTTTAGTTATATAGTACAGTTAGTATATTTTTTTCTTAAAAGCACCCCGCAAAAATTAAGCACTAATTTTAGGAATCGCCCTTCATAAAGTACAATTTTCACATTAAAATGGTTGTTAGGTTAATTCATGGTGATGGTAGGTACCATCACGAGCAAAAAAAACTAAGAAAATTTTTAGGTTGACAACAAATACTGCATGAAAATAGGCCTTTACTGGCAAACTGAAATGTCATATTTGTTCTAGTTTTTTTTTGGGCGCGATAATACCTACTCTCATGAAAGAGATCTTACCGATGAGAATTTAATGAGGTTTTTACCTAATGAAATTAAATACATAAATGTATACCTACATTATCGTGGAGATTAGCATCTTAGATTACTTTCATGAGAGTACTATTAGCGTCAAATTAAGCCTTTACTTAAAAAGCGGATGTAGGGATTTTCGAAATCTGTTTTTTAAACATATTAAATTAGATATTAATAGGAAAAAAATCATTTCAAAGATCGCCTGCTACTCCAGTGATGACTTCACGAACCATACCCAATAGGTTAATTCCATCACACGCGAATAACAAATACTGGGATAGAATTTTTGTAGCCGTACAACCAAATGGACTACTGGACATTACCTTTAAAGTATTTCTCATAGGCTCATAATTACGTAAGATTAACTGGTATATCTAGATAAGTCTATATCCTCGCAGTCGGATATACTAACGACGTCTCAACTAGTATAATTTAGGATGTCCTAACAAACATCCTACGGACATACGTATCTGATATATTGTGGACGTTCCAATTAGTAAAATTGCATATCCATGAGACGTCTTAACGATGTCCCTTAGCTGAAACAGTATATCCCTAGGATATACGCTATGTCCCGTCAGATATCCTGAGGACGTTTTAAGGACATCCTTGTGCTATTTGAGAGATGTACAGTAATCCTACCTTAATGTTTTGAAATTTTTTACGTTGCATTTCGCAAAATTGCTATTTGAATAGTTACACCTACCGTTAGTTGCGGATACAATGGCGCTAGCATCTTCGAGATCGGATCGCGAATGTTCCGCAAGATGGCGGAAGGCGCCAGGGCCACCATGACGCTTATCTTGTCGTTGTATTCCGGCCTGGACGCGCCCATCGCGAAAAACGTAGTCGTGCCCTGCGAATGTCCTATGTAATGCACTTTTCTCTGTTTTGTAAGCGCCAAGATGTAGTCAATGGTGTTGGGGATGTCGTAGTAGCCAATTTCGTGCCACCTGAGAGATAAAAACGTACCTAAAGTACCGAAAATAATCCGATAATAGTCACACAGCGGCCAGGACATGAAATAGATAGAAATTAGATTGCTTAATAGTGTCTTTAGACCAATAAATCCTTTGTTAAAAGAGATTTTTATGGATAATTTATTATTTAAAATTTACATAGATAAGGCCACAAAGGAGTGGAAACAAAAATGTAGTAAAATGGGTGTCCATCTACAGTCAAATGTTTGCAGATGATCAAGTAATATTAGCAGAAGATGAGGACGATATAAACTGTATGTTTAGAAAGTTTGTAGAAGAATACAGGAAGTGGAATTGGAATAAACGGACAAGATTTATACACTGATGTGGGAACTATTAAACGTACAATAAGTATTTAGGAGTGACTATAACATCTGATGGAAGAGAATTGGACGTCCAAAACAAAATTAATAAAATAAAAATTGTTATAAGTCAATTACGCCCAGAGTTATGGAATGACCTAATTTCCCAAAAAAATTAAGAGAAGAATGTTCAATTCCTTTGCGCAAAGTACAATTACGTATGGGTCGGAGGATTGAAAAATGGAACAAAAGGTAGCTTCTACAGAAATGATGTATTGGGCAAAATCAAAAATATCGAAACTTTGAACAGAATGAATGTAGAAAAGAGACTATTAGATACTATTAAAGGAAAACAACGACTGTGGTTTGGACATATCGAATTAGCGGAGACAGAATATCCAAAAAAAAATTATGAGTGGAGGCCACCACAAAGAAGGAAAAGAGGAATACCGCGGAAAAACTTAATTTTAGTTTTGGCTTTGGAGGTTTTTCTATTAATTTTATATTTAATTAAGGGAACAAATTAACCTTCTTAGAAATATTTTAATTAAATCATAGTATTAGTTACTGAGTTACCTTTACGATGACCCATCTAACCGGTAGTGTACTATGTTATAGCAAAAGAGAAGTCTCACAGAGGATATGTACAGCGATGGTTTTTGAATGATAATGTAAAATATCAAAACAATCGTCAAAGTTGTTCAAAATTTTCTGTAAAAAGTGGTAAAAGCATAAAAGCCAGACATTTTGTGAGTGTAAGGGTGATTTGAGTTATTATGTATTATTGTGTCCAGAGAGTTTAGAGAGTTATCTAGTTTTATGATAGGGTTGACTTGTCTCTGAGAATATTGTCTACTATGTTTATTACGTCAATTGGTGGAATACTAGGAAATAGGTTTTGAACGTCAAATGAAACTAGAATTGCCTTAGGAGGACAAACAGGTAGAACATTTAATAAACTCAGTTATGCCGTTCATTTAAATTCAGAAATGCCCAACTTTATCATTGAAAAACCAAAAAATTTAAATTCGTTGGAAGCTATGAGTGAGTGAGCTTGAGTGAGTAAAGATATATTGTAACGAACTCAGGGATCTATTTACGTAAATTTCCAGAATTTGACGTCCTTGTCGGGATCCAAATATCTGTGCTTCCTCGAGTGCCAAGAACCTCTGGCGTTCATCAGCCACACATCGAACCCATTGTCTGCCAACATGTAAGTGATCGCTTTGTTGGGACCTCCGATGATAAAGTTCTCGGACGAACCCATGAGACCGTGGTTGACCATCACCGGGTACCTGTTGGGTTGATTGGTGAGGCTTTTTCGTCCGTACGGTATTCTGTAGGTTTCGAGGAGATAGCCGTCTTCAGTTTCGATTACGTGAACTTCCACTGGGTAGCCGCATTTTTGTATTATTTCCGTCTGAAATTAAAAGACAATTGGAATCAAACACTAGTTCTCCGTGTTCCGAACCTATTTATGGCCATAAGTTTCTAACCGATTAAGGTAGGGGGTTGAAATTTTTCTACTGGAGACCTCGAAGGCCCATTAGTACCTATCCAATTATCTCCGTGCGTCGTACTCTGCCCTTTATTTTTTATAGTGTATATTGCTGATCTATGCCGTTTTTTGGGGTCTGTCAAATGTCTGTCAGTTTTACCTTATATGGTCCTAATTGGAGTGACCTACACAACATTATTGGGGTATTGGAGAGCTATGCGAACAATCTGTTTAAAAATAATTATTTGAAATTGAATATGGACAAAACTCAAAAGATATTCTTCTCAGTCGGCTAAAAGGTCATATTTTATCTCTTAAGCGAAAACCATCTTCCAGCTTATTCGTCCTTAGAAAAATTAGGGAGAGCCTAGACCAGAATGCCCTAATGACAATGTATTATGTTTTGTTTCATTCCCACATATCATATGGGACAATATTATGTGGAAACTCTGTCAATGCTGTTCAAATATTCAGGCTACAGAAAAGGACTATAAGAATCCTTGCTGGGGCTAAGCACAATGGATACTGTAATAACTGATAATAACACTGCCCCGTATCTATATTCTCCACAATCCTTTAGAAATTCACAAACCTGCTTATATATTTGAAGGTGTGTCTCATAGTTATCCAACATGTGCAAAAAATCTTATAAGAGTTCCAAAGCACAGACTTGTTACATCAGACAAAAATTCTTTAAACATTAACTTGTACAATATGCTGCCAGATAGGTACAGACATATGGCTTTTGAGGTGTTCAAAACAAATTTTAAAGTGTTGCTTACTAAAATATGTGAAGATCATAGCATACTATCTTGCACTTTCTGTACGATTTTTATACTCCATGTTATTGTTGTTGACCTTTACATTTGTTATTGTTCAAAACCCCTTCAAAAATACTATATTCGATTTTTGCGCCTAGAATGAAATAGGCCACATTGAAACCAAAACGCCCTTGTTAGTTTCGAAAATCGATGAAACCGAATAAAAAATCTATATCTCGGTACCGCTAGGTTCTATGGGATCGCCGTTGATACAGAAATGATCACCGTCGAATGATTTTTTTTTGTCTGTCCGTTCTCCGTTCTCCGTTCTCTTCTTTTGGTTTTTCCTGAAGAACATTCGAACCGTTGGAGCTACAAAATTGAAATTTGCCTCATTTTTAATCCTCCACGAGGCACATAAGCTTATAAGAAATTGCCCTGATCCGACGCCGGTATCCATCTTTTTTTCGCGATTTTCGACTGTTTTTTGGAACTTGCTATGAAACACGATAAGTATCCGAAATTTGAAGCAATGGACTTCATATTTGGCACATATACGCAGCTTTGCCCAGTGACGGAACCTATTGAAAATGGGGGGAATGGCGGGTCGGGAAGTATTCGCACGTGCAAGGGTCTACAAAAAACAACATTTTTCAACAATTGTTTACGAGACCAAAAAAATTCTTGAACCAGAGGAAGCAGAAGATACGGCTCTATAAACTTTTATTCTTGACAATTTTTCAAAAATATACAGGGTGCGCTGCAAATTCAAAAAAACTGAAAAATAGGTCCCCCTATTATTGAAAACTGATTCTAACTGAAAGACTACGATTCAGATCTCGCTTTCTTTTATACTGCGATACAGCCCACTTAGACAGCAAAACCTTTTATATTTAGGTTTTTCACCTTTTGTACAGGATGTTCCCGATATTGTGAGAAATGTATTATGTGTTCTTAATTTGCAGATATCAATTTCAAATTTAGCAGAGAAGTAAAAGTCCCTGTCCACATTTTAACGATAGAAATTGGGCGCAATCCTTTTATAATAAAAAGCTGCTTCGCGGTACGCGCTACGAACTTGCGAAAGCAATTTTGTTGTTCTCGCTGGAATATTATTATATTTTGGTTATGCCAGTGCCGAGCATTTTCTTTATTAAATATACCGGGGCTGCTCAGGAAGTTATTACCTTCCTAGCGGTGGTCTCGCCTAATTTGCTCCAAAGACTAATTGCAATATACCAGTCGCCTAAATGGATCTCCAGGATGTAAATGATTCACTGTGTTGACCTTAGAATGAGCCTTTAATATTTTTGTACATGCCACACGCTTGCTATAAAGTTTATTTCTCCTATTTCATCTCTTTCTCTATATATCTTCGGAGGAAGCTTTGAATAGGATCAAAATCTAACTAAATTTGGTTGTGGTCTCTCTGGAAGCCTTAAAGTAAAAGAATATCTTAAGTGACGTTTTAAGTAACATTTTCTTCGCAAATATTTAAGCATTTAATTATGTCGCACTTTTCGAAGTTTTCTTAAATTAAGTTTTTTACAAGAATGCCTTTTTTAACAGGGATATTGACATCTGCGGTTTCTTTCTTCTTTTTTTTTTCAAAAAACGAAACCGTTTAGAATACAACTGACCAAGCCACTGACATTTCTGACATTTCGTGGGATACCCGAGATACGAAGGGTGCCCCAAAACTTTCCAAAATCACCCCGTATTTTAAAAATTAAGCAAGTCACGAAAATTTTGTTAAAGTGCGCCAGACATTATACCTTTTGTATAACCTTTTGTGGTGACTTTGGACCTGTTGTACAGCGGAAGGGACCATTGGTTTCAGTGCGTGTGCCAGAAGCCAGGCCCCTATTTATATGCCGTGCGTGTATTTTAAGAGTAACTGTAATATTAATTCATACTAGTGTGATTTTTATCTTCTTAGTCGAGGTAGCTCGATTTCAGGTTGAAGTTAGGGTGTATAGAGTTTACCTACTAGGGATTCTTGACCATGAGGCAAAATAACAAAAGTATCATCGACGTAGCGTTTCCATAATTTTGATTTTAGATGAAAATTGTCGACTGGTGATAGTATAGTAGATTCGTAGAGACTAGAGAAAATGTTGGAAAACCAATGGTGCTGACAAAGAGGCAAATGGGTAATCCTGGTTCTTGAATCTTTGGGAGTCCGTAGAGACGAGGAATTTTAGAATCATGAGGGGTGACAGATTTATAAACGGAATCTGATAAAGAAGAAGCCGATGAAGATGAAACAAATCTGTCAGCTTTCAGAATTTGTATGCACGATGTACGTCATTGTGGAATTGCAAATCTATTTATTGGGACTTACAAAGAGAAACCAAGCAAGGCGGGCCTGCGTTTTATATTTTTATAAAAATTTACCAAAGCTTAATACCGCATTATGTCGTAGGTATGGTATATCGTGGGCACACTAATAGCTTCATGGAGGTGTTCAATTAATTGGAACACTGCACCTTCAGGAGGCAAGATTAAGAGGTTAGCGAGTGAGTGCATTTAGTACAAGATCAAATCTCCATATTTATAATTTGCATTCGGGTCTTATATTATCCACGTGTCGTGACGCACAAGCGAATTTGCAAAAGCGAAGGTTATTCTCGTCACCGTTCAAAGATTTGCAATAGAAGATAGTGGTTATTGCGTATCGTATTAAAAGGAAGGTTCTAAACTTGTCTACGAAAACTGGATTGTGTCCTATTATAATCACGTCAGCTTTTCCATGTTAAAATGTTTACTATAAAAGAACTGAACCTTCTGCGAATTCAGTTGTTAAATCTGAACTGTAAAATGAATAAAATCAACACCTCTACATGTCAAATAAAAAATAGACGTTAAAGCAAAATCTTTGTTGTTAAGGTATCTTACAAACCTTGTAAAAAGTGAAGATTTGTCGTAAAAAACATAAACCAAAAGTAACGTGTAAAAAATTAGAAAAAAAATAAGTTTACGATTTTAATATGCTTTTTTTTTCGAAATTTAACTTGGAAATATTGTAATTCCATATTATAAACATTAGTTACTAGAATAGAAGAATGAAATAATTTATTTTCAAAATAACATGTATACATGTGCGATACGAAGGATCGCAGCTAGCAGGATTTAAAAAGAATAATAATAATAATAACATTAATTTCGCAACAAAATAATACAGAAAGTAAGTGGCTGCAAAAAATGAGTGGAAAACTATTACATAAAGTTCAAGTTAAGCCCCTGGGCGCTGAAAGTAATATTCAACGTAACAAAAGTTTCCTAGAGTTGGAATTGGAAATATACAAGCAAAAATTACAAACAAAAAAAAGAAAAGGACTTTTGTTCCATTTGCATTCCGTTGATGTCACTCAAATCCAAACATGGGCCACATATAGTACAGTCTGTATCGATCTTCATCGTTTTGGCTTTCGTATAAGGGTGAGTTGAGCTGTTATGTATGACTGTGTCCGTGTGTGAAGGTTTATGGTAAATGGAAAAATCTCATTTGTTTTGCGTTTTCGTAATAGTTAAGTCTAAAAAATTAATAGAGTTATCCTGTTCTATCTTGATAGCGAATTTTATACGATTATGTAATGAGTTAATGTAATTTAAAAAAGGATTCAATTGTCTATCCGTTCTATCAATGCAAGTAAAGACATCATCCACGTATCTATACCACCACAGAAAACTTTTGCTTAAAGGATGTTCTAGTATGATATTTTCTAAATTATCCATAAAAATCTCGGCTAACAAAGCACTATGAGTGTGTTTCCCATAATCAAACCTTCCTTAGACACGTTAATCTGTCCATTAAATTCAAAATAATTTTGGTCTAAAGATACTAGTAAGCAATCTAATAAATCTTATTTCACTAATGGGTTAACTTGTTTCCGAGTAAGGGTAAAATTTACTAAATATATCACATCCATAGGTGGAATACTGGGAAATAAGTTTTGTACATCAAAAGACAATAGTGTTGCGTTAGAAGTTTAATTTTGTTGATTAATTCAAAACAATTTTTTATTGCAAATTTTGGTTTAAAATCTGTGTGGAACTTCAAAATATTTAATAATTTTGTTGAGAGTTTAACTGCTGGAGCCGTTACATAAGACGCAACTGGTCTAATGGGCATATCTTTAACTAAAGAATATAATTTTGGCGGTTGTCGATTCATAATTGTTAAAAACTGCTTGTCTTTGTCACTAAAGAAAAAGTAGAAAACTAAATTTATTGGAAGTCATTGAGATTGACAAAATGAGACATTCAAATGTATTGCTTAAAGATCAATTGTATTAAAGATACGGTGTTGTCGAAACAATTGCCATGTGAACATATATAATTTCGTGAAAATCTGAACTTTTAGTTCTTATTTATTTTGCACTTTTTAAAGCCCCGCGGAAAGAAAATCCTGCGACGTGAGTGGATCGAAAAAAAAATGCGGCGAATGCACTTACGATGCTCAGATCTTGCTGACCCTCGAAATATTCGGCACTCACTGATCCGGGACCCGGAAAATCACAACTCGCGCGACTCAGGAGATCGATGGCGACAAGCACCGCGACTGCTGCCCTGAGTCGCATTTTTCAGCGCCGAAGAAAGAATACTAACGTCTGTTTTCAATATCAAGGATAATTGTGAGCGTGCAATCTGACGATCTAAAATCACTATCGGGGAATGATCGTTTGGCGTTTATGCAGTCGACCTACACGGCGACATAAAAAATCAGCAGCAACATTGTAATATTTCGACGATTGCATACAATTAAATACCTCTCAAAACGTTCGTTAAAGGGATAATCCATATTTACGCGAGTGTATATATTTTTTTTTAATGTTATGGGAGGATAGCGACGAAAACGACGACAATCTGACCTGATAATCACACGATTTAAACTCTTTTGGCGCTTTGGGTTTCTAGTCAGCTGAGAGAGGAAAAATGCAAGCTAAAAGCCCCAATATTTAAACAAATGAGCGAGATAAAGAATAAACACAATTTTAAAACGTTATATTGTTTATTTAACTTTTGTAATTTGTCATTAAGTAGTTTCTATAATTGTTTAATTTAATTTAATTTAATTGCAACAAAAATCATCCAATGATAAAGCTTTTAAGAGGATTAAATCTTTAAGATCGTATAAACAAGAGAAAGCGGGTCCCGACCTTCAATTTTGTTTTGTTTGTACTGATAACACACGGATATTCGAAAATCTGCAAAAACCACTAAAGTTCATGTGAACGGTAGGTAAAATTATAAATGTCACTTTACTTACCGACTAGTCCACTAGATTTTAATTGTAGCTTATAGCACGTAGTATTAAATTGCCTAATATTTTTCCGTGTATTAGTTTTTTGATACTTTTTTGCATTGACTGACATGGCCGTCAGAAGAACGTCAAAATTCAAGCCGATTGCTCCCAAACCCGTGCGGTAAAATCCCGAAAATGTCCGAAGTGGCTCGGATCCGTGGGAAACGAAACTGACGTGATAAAGTGACGCTTCCTGCACGCTAGATCGGAGTGTAATTAGGTATTTTACAGACGGGAGTAGGAAAAAGTAATTTTGCAGAGATACTTCCACAGGCTACTGTAATACTATTTACAAATCTGTCAGTCAAGAACTGATTGGCGAAGCGTCAGTAAGTTCGACTCGGAGGCTGCAGGAGGGATCCAGAAGTTTTGTAGATAGTTTGCATAATAAAATTGTAAATTATTTTAAATAAAGGCGGAACCATTTGTTTATAATGAATAGTATTTGAATAAATACAAAAGAAAAATAATAATAAAAGTTTTTTATTCATTGATAAACGCTTATACTTGCTTCCTTGGCAAATACTTACATAGCAAATTACAAACAAACAAACTCTTACAGTGACAAAATATTATTTGCGATTATTAACAAAAAAAAATAAGATAATGAATAATTCCACGATACCACTGACACGGTCAGATAAAAGCAACTTGCACAACGTACAATTGACGATTACTAAATGTTTTTCCTAATGTAACCAAAGGAAAATTGTGTTTTTGATCTGTAAACATATAAAAATCAAAACGCCTATTAAAACATCCGAACCATTTTTTAAAGATTTTGAAACAGCGTGTTATTTGCCCGCAATTATGCAAGTTACCTGCAAACGGCATATTTTTTTAAAGATGTGTATAATCTTATTAAATTACACTAAGAAAAAACAATTACATTACATATGCACAATCAGTTCACAGATAGGAATATCTATACATAATTAAATTTTTATGCAAATTGCCTAGAAATGTAAGGGTCCTCAATTTTTCAAAATAAATAAGAAATAAAAGTTCAGATTTTCACGAAATTATATATTTTGACATGACAATCGTTTCGACAACACCGTGTCTTTATCAAATGTGATTTGATTTGATTTGATAAAGACACGGTGTGAACTTTTAGTTCTTATTTATTTTGATAAATGGATTTTCATCAGGTATAAACCTCCTTCAGTTCAATTCCTCAATTTTTGTACTGTGCCGTACTCAATTTTTCTAGCGCTCAATTGGCAAGTTATTAATTACATTTTGTTTCCACAAATACTCTATGGGGTTAAGCATGCAATGATACGGAGTAACACGTAAAACAGTATGCCCATTTTTTTAATTGCAAATGAATTTAGGACTTCCAAAAGCATCCCTGGATTTAAGGTTTAGAACTTGGTGAGGCTGGTAACAGTGCATTACATAATACAATACAATAATACTGTTATTGGGAATATTTTTTAAAAGGATATTTTGAAACCAATTTTCAAAAAGTTCGGCACTTGTAGCCTCATGACAAACCGGGTTGCAATTTTTAATATTCTTTAGAGGCAACAGCAAGAAGTTTGGGGCGAATAGATCTCTGACACAGCGTGTATTATCGTGATGCCTTTTCCTTTATTTGAAGGTGCTTTCCTCTGACAGTTTTGAGTGGAATCCATGTTTCATCAAATGGGTCTGTTGTATAACCTATATATTTTAATTAAATCTCCAAAAACCTAATCTGTGTGATTTCATTACTACTTGGCTTTTATCTATTTTGCGGCATTTAAATCCCATTTTACCATCAACTATGGAGGGTAGCACGGCTTATATTGATATTGGTTTCATCTTCTTCTAGCTTCTTTTTCAGTTTGTCCAAGAATCCAAAAATGTCGAAATATACAGGGTGTTTTATTTAAAACAACAAAGTTGATGTGGGAGCGGACACTTTGTTTCTTATCTCCTATGGGTTTCCAGATCGAATAGTGGATAGCGTTGTATACTGTTTAATTCCCGATTATTATTAATACTTTTTTATATTCGAAAATCTTAAATGTATTTATGTCACTTAAATTAAACATGTTATTGCATTGACTTATGCCATTGATTCACTTTTTTTAATTTGTAGTATACTGTTTGGAAAAAAAAAGTTGAAGTATTCGGACCAAGAATAAAAAAGTCGATTTGTGGCTAAACGATAACAGTTATCGACTTAAAGCAAGACTAACAATTTTTGAGGATTTTTGATTCTGCTTAAGGCAATCTATTCTATTTTGCAAATAAGTAAATAAAATACAGGGAAAATAAAAAAAAGATGTTCTAGATAAACAGTTTTATTTTGTAACGACGAGTTTTACTAAATCAATAACTTATTCTCTTGACAATTAATCCCTCTGTGTTAAAAATAAAATTAAAAAAAAAGAATTTTCACAAGCCTTAACTCGGAAAATATCACGATTGCGATTTTTTTTACATGACTTACTATCATTATTTCACCACGTTGAATCTTTCCTCAAAATTTCCGAACTCAATTTCCGAACACGCTGTATATCTAGTCAGACTTCTTCGATTCCCGTTTTTCGGTGATAAGTTTCGTTCACCTTTAGTGTATGTCCAGACTCCCTCAAGACAGTTTATGTTTTATGTATTATGTATATCGTACGTTTTCAACATTGTGTTGTAAAAATTGTTATTTATTTTTATTATTTATATTATTTATTTGTCAACTCGATAAACAAAGCCCTGAACCGATGCAGTAGTAAATCCTGCGTAATGCTGGTATATACATACTATATATGGCTGATATGATACAGCAGTAATTTCTAACGGAGCCAATTCACTTATGCACTTTTACTTTTTAGACGACGGAAAAAATGGAATAATTATAGCCATTACCATTATACAACGCCGTGAATTATTGTTCGTTTTAGCGCGGTTTTTGTTTAAATTTATTGACCATTTTCTCGATTCGTTCCTGCAGCCGACAAAATTAAAAAAAACACTGCTGCAGGAAATGAAACAACTGATTGTGAATGTTTTTATTTTGAAATTTGAGATAGTGATGATGGACAAATACATGCTGTTTTCTAATTATATATTAATAGTAAAGGGGTCTATATTTTGGTCAATTTTAATAAGAAAACCTCACATGAACATACGTCAACAAAAATCTGCTTATGAATGAATGCAAATGTCAATGCCACTGACTGTCTATGAACAAGTAATATTTTGGTTAATTAGGTCCGCACTGCAATAGTTAAATTGAGAACTCTTTTTTGTGAAAAATGAAATATCTATGAAAAACAAAATGTCTAGTTTATAGTTCCCAACTCTCCAGATAAATAACAGAAGATCCTTGTTTAAAAAAAAATACACTACCTGATATTAATACTTTTTAACAAAATTGCCTCTATCTAGGGTGCGGAAAACTTCACTTTACCACGTGAGTTACTTGTTAATTTATTTTTTTTACCTTTACCACAGATCTATTTGAATAAATGTAAATGAAACAAAACAAAGTAATAAAAGTTTTTTATTCATAGATACTTACATAACATGAAATCTACACCACAAAATTCGCACAGTGATGAAATATTATTTGCGATCATAAAAAAATATAATTTTCATTCAATAAAATAATTAAAAAAAAATTTACTGTAAAATAGAAAACTTAGTATAAGTTTACATTCGTCGGAATTTTAAAAAAATCTTTCGTACTTTTACCAAATTAAATATTCGAGAAGAAACATTTTGAGATATAAAATTTTTATACGAGCGTAGTAACATTCGAAAAAATCGATTTCATCGATTTTCAACAGTAACAAGAGTAATAGTTTTTGAGGATTTCTAATTGCGCTTAAGGCAATCTGTGCTTTTTTCCATATCAGTCTAAATACAAAAAAATGCAGGCAAAAAAAAATGTTCTAGGTAAAGTGCCCTCTAGTGACAGATTTCTGAAACGTTTTTATTTTGTAAGGATGACTTTTACTAGAGGGGGCAACTTTTGTACATTAATTAAAGCAGCCATAGACGAAGCAGAAATGTAGTAGAAAATTAGTAGATATGTAGATTATTACATCTTCTGATCCTCTAATACTACATGATTCTTTCCTCTTCTTTAGCGGATTTCAAGTTTTTCTTTATTTTTCGACCAAAACACAGATTGCGTTAAAATAGTTTAGCTAGTAGCATAGAATATAAATTGAGCATAGGGAGGTAACGATCAGAATTTCTTAATATTGAAATTGGTTCTACATTATACCCAGCTGGTCAGAACTAATGATTTGTGGCACGCCGTTTATATTATCACAAATTTACTTGTTGAGAGATAATCAAGTAAGTTTTGGGTCGGGCCTGGTTGTTTTTAGAAAATCCAAGCGTTCCACTAAAATTTACAATTGGTCGCACTTTTAAGTTGCCTTTTTG